GCATCTTCGAATCACTCCCCATCACTCACTCTCTCTTCTTTCCTCCTTCCCTCTGACCTTCCTGGCTGCCTCTGTGAGGTCCCTGTGATGACACTGGACTCCTCTGGGTAACCCAGGATACATCTCCCCGCCCCTGCCCAGCTCCTTAATTTCACATCTGTGTGATGTGATTTGCCGTGGAAGGCAGCTTTTCACCAATCTCAAGAATTAGGACGTGGTCACCTTTTTTAAAAAAAAAAATATTTATGCATACAAGAGCTGGGGTACAGGCCAGAGGTGTGTGTGGGGGGTGAGGACTCACCAGAGACAGAGTGGGGAGCAGAACAGGAGGATCTACTGACATACACTGCGGAGGGGAGCAGCTGGGAGACAGGAGAGGTCTGCTGCGCCATGTGGGTAGCTCCCTAGCCGGGGATTGAACTCCTGCTGCAGTGGCTGCTGGTAGCTTCACAGTGCTGAGACTTAATCCCTGTGCCACCAGGGAGGCCCAGGACTTGTGGATCTTTGACCCACCGTTGTTTGGTCTGGCACCCCCTCTAGGCTGTGTTCGGTTCTTTCTGTATCCTTCCATGCAAGGAGAAGTTAGGAAAAATGTTGAGTAGCTGAGTGAGTGAGTGAGTGAATGAGGGAATGAATAGCCCCCAGGCTAGGTGGGGCAGAAGCCAGAGGAGGGAAGCAGGAGAGTGGTGGAGATGCAGGAGCAGCTAGCGTGAGCTCGGACCACGTCTTCCGACTCATTTTGCTGGCAGTGGGGTCCCCTGGGCGACAGAGGAGAGGCCTCCCTTCCCACTGGGCACAGGGGCTGTGGGGGGAGTGGTGTGGGGGGTCTGTGGTCAGGAGGCTCAGCCAGGAGGGCCTCTGGGCACGGTCGTAGAGGAGAGGGGGTGCTTGAACACCAGGACACTAGTGGCAACAACAGCAGAGGAGAAAAGCCATTGGGGTATCCCCGGGCCAGGGCTGACTCCCTGAGCCCAGTGCACCCTGTCCCCTTGACTCTCCCACCAAAAATACCACCCATTGGCCCACGCATTGGGGCTGGGGGTCCCCATGTTACAGCCGTGGGTGCCAGGGCCGCTCGCGCACGCAGCTGAGTGGGTGGGGGAGTTGGGCTTCAGGTCAGCAGACTGAGTGAGTGGTCTGGGGGGGCTCCAAGTTTCTGTGTGAATTAGAGGGGCCACAGCATGAAGCATGAACCTCGACCAGCTTGGCCCTGGGGCTGGCAGAGGAGGCGGGACGCCATGTCTCCATCCTGACGTGGCTGCGCAGGCTCAGGCGGCCCCATCCCGCTGGGCCTTGGTCTCTTTATCTGTAAAACGGTCCTGGAGGACAAAAGCGCGTGAGTGGTTGTCAAGGTTATGGCGCCCAAGCCCCTACCCCCGGGGAGGAACACACCTTTCCCCAGGTCAGTTTCTAAAACCAGGGGCCCTCAGTGCCCGAGCTCCTGGTCTTGGCTGCTGGAGCTGCCCTCCCTGCCCCTCAAGTGCTACAGTGCGGCCAACAGCTGAACCCCTCAAGGGGCATCTGTAGCACAAAGAGCAGTGGAGAGGGCAGGACACACTGGCCCTTTGTCCCAGGCTGAGCGGCAGCAGCTGTGGTCACGGGGCTCCCTCTGACCCTCACCCCCGCCGACAAACACCATGGCTGTCCAGCCGCCAGGCCGGACAAAGGCAGGGCTCAAAGCAGCCCCTGCCCCCACAGCGCCTCCTATCAGGGGCCCCTGGAAGGGATGAACTTGAAGAACTGGATGTGAGGCAGGACACGGGCCCCTCAGCACCCGCCACTCACCGCTTCCCGGAAGGACGATGGATAAAAACTGCTCCCTGGTGTCAGGCTTGTCACATGCTTCTCCCTTGGCCTCAGCCCCCCATGAAGTCCTGCTGTGGGTCCCATTTTTCTCATGCAGAATCTGGGGCTCAGAGAGGTGATGGCATGACCAGGCCAGGATTTCAGGCTGGGGTCTGGCAGAACCAGGATTGGAGCCTGCCCTGCTACATGCCAGTTGGCTGCCTTTGCAGGAACTCGGGGTGACCGAGTGGGGCATAAGGCAGATGGCAAGGAGGTATAGCCATGCACCCAGAAAAGCACAGAGTATGATTGACCTAAGGCCTGGCGACGACCCCTGGCAGCTCCCACAGCCCAAGAATTCCAGGACTCCCCGAACCCTGCTTTTCAGAGCAGAGCTGGGGAAAAGGGAAAGGAGCAGGGTGCTGATGATTCAGGAAATCTGCAGCCGGAGTTCAATGAGAGCCTCATAATGATGGTGATTAAAAATTAACACCACTGTTTGAGCAGCGATGTGTGTGTCCACTTGGCTCTGAATTAATAAACAAAACGCAAGTGCTGGGGAAGAGCCGGGAGGGCGAATCGGAAGCCCGGGAGGGGTGGACCTCAGAGCTCCCGCCCTAGTCGCTTCTCCAGGCCACCCAGACGATAGGGTGCAGCTGCTTTGGGAGCCGTGAGGTGAAATATAAACTTGGGGGGCAGCTCCCCAGTCTGAGTGAGGCATGGAGAGAGGGAAGGGCCTGGAGACGTGGACTTGACCCCAAGCCTGACACCAGGCAGGCCTCGGTAGTCAACCTGCTTCTCAGTCTCTCTCTGCTCATCTGTCAAAGGTGTACCCCCAGGCTCCATTTCCAAGCAGGAAGATAAGTCTGTCCCCCAGGGCTGCAGTGACAAGCAGCCCTGATGTGCTGGCTTAGCACAGCGGGAAGGTCTCCTCCAGGAGACTCTGCCCCAGGCCTCTCCTGGCTACCCACTCCTGGACACTGAGGGTCGTTGCATGGCCCCAGCCTGCTCCAGCCCTTCTTCCTCCTCTGCATCTGCAGGTCGGGACTCTCCCCTCCTTCCTCTCGTAAGGACACTTGTGAGTCTAGAACTCACCCTGATTCCAGAAGGATCCCATCCTAGGTCGTTAATGCACATCTGCACAGACCCACCTTCAGGGAGCCACCTTTACCTTTGGGGGGCGGGGAGTCCTGCCCTGGGGCGGTTTTGCGGTGAGCCACTTCAAGCCACAAAAGGGTGTTTTGGAGAAGCGGAAACCAAGAATGCCACAGGCTGTCACTCAGGCTGAATTCAAGGCAAGAGCTGGGAGAGGAGGGGCCACCCATGGGTGCCCCATTCCTAACACCTCCTGTGGCCAGGCAGCAGAGGTGGCCTTGACCCGAAGAGGAGGGAAGAAGTTGGGGGGAGAGGGAGGCATCCCATGGGTGTTTCCCTCCTGCCCAGCTCTCACCTATGAAACTTCTGGGCCAGCAGAGCTTCCAGGGGTTACCTCCTGCCTACCTCCACGGCTCTGTCCTTTGCCATCCCCTCCCCAGGCAGCCTCTGCCCCCATGATGGGACCCCCCAGCCTCAAAGGCACTACAGGTCTGGATGCTTCTCCATCTTGTCGTCCACCACTCCTCTTCCTGATGCCTCCTCCTGCCAAACCAAACCCTCCACCATGCCCCCTGCTCCTCAGCATGTTGCCTCATGCCCCTGTGCTTGGTGCTTCTGACTCTTCTGGAACATTCTGCTCCCCTCAACACCACTGTCTCTTCTGAGAGCCCCCCCCCTTGTGTAATTGTGCTGTTGGGAGGCCAGGGGTGCAGTCCGTGATGTGGGGTGCCCTGCCCAAGGACAGAGGTGCTCCGAGTTTGTCTGTGAAGGAAACCAGGACACCTGGCTTGGCATCCCTTGGCCTCGCTGGGTGACGTGCCTGCTGCCCTGCCAGGTGGGCGTGAGCCTCTCCTGCTTGTCAACAAGCACCCCAGGCCAGGAGAAGCAAGGGCCGGACCAGGGACTCCACCGCCCCCATCTGTCTGGGAAAGCTTGTAGTTGGAGGGTGGCCCAAACTTCCCCCCATGCTTCCCTGCCCGCCTGCCCCACCTGGGCCCCAGGTGTCTATCTCTCCAGCTGTGTTCTTCTGGGATTCATAGTTCAAAAGAGCAACAAATCAAGGCTGGAGAGGCCGAGGCCAGGAGAGCCGGGGGAGCAGGGTGGGCAGGCTGGTCTTCGCTGGCCCACTGGGCGCTGCAGGGTGCTGCCTCTCTCCTGCCGTCCGGAAGTGGGGCGCTTGGCTCTGTGGGCATCTGCCCCAAGGCCTCTGAAAGCCTGGCTTTGGTGAGAGCGAAGGCCAGTTTGGGTCCAGGGCCGGGGAGGAGGGGCCGCTGGCCTCAGAGCCCTAAAATGCACCTTTGAAAGCTTGTTCAGATGTCCCCAGCGCCTGGGGCCAGGGGGTGTAAAAATAATAAAACAACATTTGCATAGTGATTTCGTGTACAAAGCACGTTCTCAGGGGTGGGGAGGCGCTGGGGTGGCCTGTGGAAGCTGGGCTGGGAGGCCCGGCCTGCTGGTTCCGCCCCCAGCCAGGCTGGGGACTGTGCTGGGGTAAACAAAGAGCTATTCATGTGCTATTTCCGATCCCCCTGCTTCTCATTCCTCAACCCTCTCTCCCTGAAGAGCTCACTCAGGGCCTGTCACTCCAGCCTGAAAGGGGGTGTCAGGAGACCCAGAGGGTGGGACTGGGACCTGATGGGCAAGGAAGGAGGGAGGGAAGGGGCTGCCCTCCCTCACACCCCTGCCCTCCGCCCTTCCCCAGCCCCCCATGGCTTGGGATCCAGGCCAGGCGGGTTTGTGCAACTCTCTCTCCCACAGCTCACCTGTGGCCCTGTCCTCACGTTGAAAGCACGAGCACAGTGTGGTAACTCGGCGCAAATGCCTGTGCCTGTGTGTTTGGGAACGCTCCGACTTAGCCTTTGCTAATCCCCCCTGGGCAGCGAGCCCGGGAGAAGGATGTGTGTACACAGCATGGGGGTGTGGGGCCCTGGGGCACCCGCACCTGCACCAGGTAGGAGGGGCCCCTCCTGCATAGGTGGGCTCAGCCAGCAGCCGGGCCTTCACCTGGCTGCAGGCCTCCCCAGGGCCACATCAGTGCCTGGCCCCTGGGGGGTGATGAGCTATATAGGGTCCACCTGGTGGGGCCTGCGCAGCCTCAGCAACCCGGCCGGAAATGGGAGATGCAAGAGGTCATAGCGGGCCTGGAGCGTTTCTCCTTCACCTTCGAGAAGGATGTGGAGTCGCAGAAGGGCGTGGGCCTCCTGCCTTTCCAGTGCATGGACAGTGAGTGCCCACAGGGTGTGCCCCAGGGCAGGCTGCTCTGCAGGCCTCTGTTCGGCTCCTAGGCGGGCAGCCCCACTTCCAGCCTTGCTGGTAAGGGCGCAAGCCTGGGCCCACCTGGCCTGGGATTCCCAGCTATGCCCGCTTTTCTCGGGCTCAGGCCTCCCCGTTCACATCCTCTCGGGACTCCAGGGAAAAGGGCCTGGCTTCTGGGCAGAGACACAGAGAAGGTGAATAGACAGAAGTGGGGACCACATTGGCCTCCTGAGCTCCCAGGGGGCTTTGGGCCCCTCTGTCACTTTGCTTTCAAAGTTGGGGGGCCTAGGCATTGAGTTTGGAGGTAGCACCCACAGGCTAGGACTTGGGGGAGTGTCCCCAGCTTAAGCCCAGGAGAGGTTCAGGGCGGACTTGCAGGTGGGGTGAGGGCCCTGGCTGGCCACAGCCTCTGGACAGCTCTGCCCTCAGTTCTCTCCCTCCCCTTCCAGAGTCGGGCTCAGCGATGTGCAACTTCTTCACTAAAGGGCTCTGTGGGAAAGGTAAGGGAGCATGGGGGTGCTGGGGGTGTGGAGGCCACGACTGGAATGAATAGGGTGGCCTTGGCATGCTGTGGGGGAGGAGAAGCTGGGATGGGGCACATTTTAGCCTTGCAAATAGGCAAAGGATATGGGTACCCCATCCAGAAGCCTGCCCCCAGCCTCCCGCTTCTCCAGCCCCCGAGGCACTGATGAGGGGAGCCAGGGCTGCCTGGAAGGGGCATTCCCCTCTCACTGCTGTGCTGGGGGTGGGGGACAGGCAGTTGTGGGTATTGACCTGTGTGTCCTCCAGAGGTCTTTGACCTCATTATTTTCCCCATTTCCTGCCAGCCCTATCCTCTGGATCAATACGGAGCAGTTGTCCCTTCTGCCCCAGCTAGGGTTCTGGTCAGTCTCTGAAATGCTACCCACAAGCAGCCCCTGCTTCTCTCCCACCCCAACTCCATCCAGCAGCGCCCTCATCTTCCAAGCCCCTCTCCCCAAAGCACCCTTGCTGGGGGGGCGTAACTCAAAGACAGGGTTCTCAGCTTCTAGCTCATGAACCACACACAGGCTCCTCTTAGAAACACAAAATTGCCCCCAAAGTCTTGCCTCCACTCTGGGGGTTCCCAGCCCCTCCAGATCCAGCTTCAGAGGCTGCTAGTATGGACGGATTTGGGACCTCTAGGGGTCCAAGCAGGTTTGTTCTTAGGAAGCTGGGGAGCCAGGAGGGTTCTGTAGAGGGTACCCCTTTGGGCCCACCCCAGCCCTGGGGCGAGGAAGAGGGAGCTCCTGGATCCTTATGGCTTAGTGAAGCCTGGAAGAAGTGGAGCATCTGGGCCCTGCGTCCTCACCCCACCCCCAGGGCAGCGACTCACAGTGACACCCGGTTCCAATGCAACAAAACTGCCCTTGGGAAGGTCAGTCCAAGGCACGGGCCAGGAGTAGTGGGTAGGGCGGCTCACAAGGAACCCCTAGAACCCCCCCCTCAGATCTGAGTGAGGCAGCAGCCTGGACCCTAGGACCTGGGCCTCCTTCTCAAGGAAGCCAGTGCCAGTTTCAAGAAAATGGTCAAGAGCTGCGTTTCCACGCCGCATCTCGATCCCCTCCCGAGCTGGTCCTTAGGCCGCCAGAGTCAGCTCCAGAATCAGGACATTTGTTCTTTACTGGCCCTCACGTGTGCTGGCCCTGCAGGGGGCCAGACGGGGGTAAGGCTGGACACAGGGCTCTGGAGGGACCCCCACTCTAACCCTGCAGGAAAGGGGGTGTAAGCGACTGTGGGAGCTGACCCCTGGGGCCGCCTGGGATCTGAGACAACAACGCAGGGAGGGCTGGGCTGGGAGGGAAGCTTGGGCGACTGTGGGGCCGCGGTGACAGGGCCCAGGGAAGGGGTGGGGCGAGGCAGCTGGGGTCTGGGTTCTTCCAGGGTCCTCTCCCACCGGGAGCCTGCCGTCCCCAGGGAAGTTGTGCCCCTTCCGGCACGACCAGGCCGGGAAGCAGGTGGTGTGCAAGCACTGGCTGCGGGGGCTGTGTAAGAAGGGCGACCAGTGCAAGTTCCTGCACCAGTACGACGCGGCCAGGATGCCCACCTGCTACTTCTACTCCAAGTTCGGTGAGGCTCGTCCTGGCCCGCCAGGCTCCTGGGGGGTAGTGGTGGGGTGGGGGGGGGGCATAGAGGGGCGAGGGTTTCATGTCCCGGGGGACAGACCAGCCTAAGCCTCCACCACCTGCCTCTCCAGACCCCTAGGAAAAGGGACCAGGGCTCTGTGCTCCCCACTGAACTGGTAACCCCCAAGGGAAGGAAGGGGTGGGGCTGGAATCAAAGGCTGAATTGTTTCCTCTGCGACCGACCGGGCTAGTCACACTCCCAGGGTGACCGGACCGGCAGAGGAAACTGGACCAAGGAGACTGGGCCGGTCACCTCGTCACCTCTCGGTCCCCAGCAGGGTCCAGCTCAGCGTTTCCCAAATAGCAGGCACCTGGGAGCTGCTTTCTTGGTGCTTAGGGTACCCACATGGCACCTGCCCTTTTTTACATGCCCACTGCCCACTCTTTACTGTCTCGCTGTGCTCACTGCTAGTTCCCAGGAGACCCTGCCTGGCCGCCTGGATGGGGAGGGGGACTATCCCCTCTTGGAAACAGCTGGTGGTGAGCACAGCCCTCTTGGGCTTGAAGGCCAGCCCCTAAGTGTCCTGCCCCTAAGTGGCCTGTGTATTCAGGGCTGGACCTGGGGTCTGGCCTGACTCTGGCCTCACTTCCTTTGTCATTTGAGGGGCTCCCCAGGGGAGGTGCAGCCACTCCCCTCCTCCTCCAAGGACAGTCAGTAAACCCTTCACTTCTCACCTCCTTGCTGTGAGTTGGGAGCTGTAGCCAGCATGGCCCAGAGCTGGGGGAGCCAGAGGACAACTGTGTCCAGCGTTGTTCAGCCAAGAGTGACCTGGAAGGAGCGAGCAGGAGTGGGGAGCCCCCAGGGAGGCCTGGGCTCCCTAATGGAGTCAGCTCTGGAGGGGAGAGGGACCCCCAGCAGCTGTTACTCATTAGTGCCTATGGGGGAGGTGTTTTGGTCTGTGGGGAGCAGGCGGAGCATCCCGGAGGCCAGGCAGACCCCCTCTGGCGGGAATTCTACTTCCTGCCTCCGCCTGGGAGCTGAGAGCTGGCCAGGACTATTCCTGGTTCCCTCTGTTGGAAGGACTTGGCTGGAGCTGGGTTCCCCGGGGCCATCCCCTGAAACTCTTACTGCAGATGCTGTTGTTTATTGCTTCAGTAAACCCCGGTTGATTTTTTTGGGGATCGGGTACGGTGCTGACTGTAATATGGGACCCGTTTCTGCTCGGCGACTAAGTGACTGAACAGCTCTAGTATCTTATCAAAGTCATTCTAATTCTTACTGGAAGGAAATTGCATCCCAGAGGTTACACCGGGGTGCTGGAAGGCAGGCTGGCGGTGAGGTGCGAGCGCCCCCTGCTGGCCGGAGAGGAAGACAGCGAGGAGCAGGGGGCGCTGCAGGAGGGCCACTCACTGCCTGAGCTGCACCCACTTGCCTCCACCCGTCTGTGGAATGTTCACCAGGCCTCCAGGGCGGTCACGTTGGTTCCCATGCCCGGTGCTGGCACCGCTCGCCGACCATGAGCAAGGACCCCCTCATCACTGAGACCCCCCCACTGTGTGGGGGGAAATGAAACTGACACCCCTTCTCTGAGCGCCTGTGTCCGCCTTTGTGCAGTGAACATGCTGGGAAAGGCTGGAAGCTGTAAACCCAGTGGTCCCTTCTTCAGGGGGAATCTTGCTTTGCAGAAGCCCAAGGTATAAACTAGATCTCGCTGGAGCAGTTTGAAAACCAGGGGGATGGACCCGGGAGGCCTGTGGCTCTGTGAAGCGCTGAGCTGCAGGCTTTTAAGGAGCGAGGTGGGCAAGATGCTGAAAACCCCCCCGATTCCATCGGAGCCTTTGAGTCACAGCTGAGAGGGTTCCCTGCAGCCCTGGGTGGGCCAGGCAGGCGGGCGGGCGCCTCCCTGGAGCCGCAGGTCTTGGTCTAATCCTCAGACTGAGTGTGGGGCACTCTAGGTGTCCCCTGTGTGTGTCTGTTTGCATCTGTCAGCTCCACGGCGGATGCCGCCTGTGGGCAGAACTGTGCCCGTGGTTCTGGAAGCCGTGTTTGCCTGCGGCGTGGAGAGGGGGCTTCCGCCACAGTGCGTGGTCACCTCCCCTTTCGCGTCATCTGTTTCGGGTCCTCAGCTGCAGACTGGCTCTCTGCTCCCCCTGCTGGTTCTCTGGTCCTGCCCCAGCCTTTCCAGATGTTTACTCAGAGCTGAGCCCTGCTTGGCAAACAGCACCATGGGCCAACGTCTTAGCTTGCAGGAAGGATTAGAAACATCTTGCTCCCTGCAAAAAGTTGCCCACAACCGGAGGGCAGGCCAGTGGCTTAGATGCCACGGGCAAGGGTGGTCTGGCCAGGGGAGGGCAGAGGTGACAGTAGAGATGTGCCTGCGTCTCAACCAAGGGCCCGGGCTTTGCAGGGGGTTGCAACAACAAGGAATGTTCCTTTCTCCACGTGAACCCAGCTGGCAAGACCGGGACCTGTCCTTGGTATGACCAAGGTTTCTGCAAGGACGGTGAGGCCCTGGCAGGAAGGGAGCAGTAGGGGATGTGGGCCACGGGGGGACCCACGGGAGAGGGAGGCAGGGTCCTGGGGCCTGCCTCACCCAGGGTTGAAATCCCAGTGGAAGGCCTCCATTGTCTCCCTGGGCTCAGGGCGGTGGACAAACCCTGATACTGACCCGCACCCTGGGGCAGCTGACTTGGGTCCCAGCCTCGGTGGTTTCAGAATGTCCCGGCTGCGTGACCCTGAATAAGTTACTGGGCCGCAGGTCCCCTCACTTATGGGAAGAGAAACTCCCACTTACAGGGTTATTGGGCCCGTCGGATGCAGGACCCCAGGGACGTCGGGGCAGAGGGTCCGGCCATGGGAGACACTGACCCCTGTTCCTCCTACCCACAGAGGGGAGGGGGTCCTGGTGTCACTTCAGATGGTTCCACTTGCCCTTCTAGGACCTCCCAACTAAGAAGGCAGGGTCCCCCATCAGAGTGCCTGTGCGCAGAGCACCCATGTCCTTTTTTGGGGTCTTTGAGTAATGTGTTCTCAATGATTCCTGGCAGCGTTGGTTTGGGGGGTTACAGGGAGGGCTGTAAGATGTGAGGTTCGCTTTTTCTCAGCGGTACCTGAGTAACAGCAGCGCGTGGCAGTCCACATGCACCTAAGTCCTCCAAGACACGCTTGTGACCCAGGACTGGGCAGAGGGCACCTACCCCAGCTCCTGCCAGTGAGCTCGGCCTCCCGTGTCTGCCCCTCTCGCTAAAGCAGCTCCATCGGGCCGTTCTCTCTGCCCAGCAGGCCCCCTGTGTAAATACCGCCACGTCCGCAGGAAGATGTGCATGAACTACTTAGTTGGCTTCTGCCCCCAGGGACCTGAGTGCCAATTTGCACAGTAAGTATGTCACCCTCTCTCTGGGTCCCAGATCTAGATCTTTCTGTAACTTCACTGGCCCCCAGGTGGGAGGGGTGTGCCTGGCAAGCATCTGCCTGCCATGATTTCCTTGCGCCACCCACCAATCCCCACCCACCCTGACCCCTGACCTATGCTGCGCGCAGGGTGGAGAGACCACTCTTCACCAATTGTTCTAGAAATAAGGGCAGAAACAATGAACCCCCACCCTGCCCGCCAGTGCCCTGCAAATCTCCCTCACGCCCTTGTTGGGGTTCTGGCTGTTCCCTCTGGGTTCTGAATCGGGAAGTCTGCAGCTGCAGGGAGAGGGGAGGGTTGAGAGCCAGGCTCTGATGGTCTCTTCCTCTGCTTCTCAGTCCCAAGATGAATGTTTTATTCAACCCAAGTTGCCCGAAGGTGAGTGTGGGCAGGATGGGCAGCATGTCCCTCTCACTGCAATTTCCTGGGGTCTGCACTTCCTAGCTGCCCTCACGTCTGTCACCTGCCCTAGGTAGCAGATGGGAGTCCCCCATTGCCTGTGGGTGGGACAGATTGCCACCCCCCCCATCACCTCTGCTTCCCCTGAATGACACAGGTGGTTTTGTCACAGAACTTAGCTGGGATCTCTTCTTCCGAGGTCAAGCATTTTGAGAGGTGCCATCAGGGGTCAGCACTCTGCAGCCCGGGGCTGAATCCAAGTCATTGCCTGGCTTTGTATATTTGGGGAGTTAAGAATAGTTAAAAGGTTAGGGGAAAAACCCAAAAGATGATGGTGTGACACATGGAAATATCCCAGGGCTCATAATGAGCTGCACTGGAACAGTTACAAGGTGCTCCTCCCTGTAACAAAACTGAGTAGCCACAACAGAACCACATAAGCCCCGGAAGCGGAAAATATCGACTAGTCCTCCGCAGAAGGTCTGCTGCCCCTGGGTGTGGGCGGCCGAGTGTGGACTGGCCTTGATGTCAGAAGCCCCAGCAGGCGCTGCCGGGCTGCTGCGGGGCTCTGCCCTGTCCAGGAGCTGGGAGACCTGCTGAGAGCCGGGTGGGAGCTGGCGTGCTGGGAGGGCGCCCCCTGCTGGTTCAGAGTGGGATTTCTGCTGAAATGGAAACCCACAAGCCCATTTCTGGCCTCTCAAGGGTGGTTTCAGCCATGAAGACTCTAGATAAAGGCATTTCAGAGCCTGGCTTCTGCCTGAGAGCCCTGCGGGAGCCCGGCCTTGGTGTCCATCAGCCAGGTCTGCACAGAGGGATTGCCTGCAGTGGCTGTCTTTCCCCACTTTTTCTCGCAGTCTGTCAACTGGCCATGTGGCTCAGCACCTCCTGCTTCTGCCTGGAATCCTGGCAAACCCTGGACCTTGACAGAGCGCCCATTGCTCCACCCTCAGAGGAAGCCGCAGGAGTGCCCACCGCCCGGCCCCTGGCTCAGGGGGCCAGAGCAAGTTCCCTGCTACCACGTGAGTCAGAGCCATGAGTCAGAGCCAGGGAGGTGGGCCACTGCTGTGCAGGGGAGCGCAGGTGATGAGGTGGAGGAAGTGACTGCTTTTTGGCAACAGATGGGAAACCCTACTGGGGTTTAAGGGTGTGGATTAAGGGACAATGGCGCATACTGGTGACCATATGTCACAGCTGCAAAGTCTCAACGACCTGTCAGACAAGAGCGCTTATTACTTTAAAAGGCTAGTAAGTCAGACATCTTTCATTTCTCATTTTGCTGCCTACTAATTCTGAGCTTTTTAAACATAGTGTCCTTAAGGCTTGGCAGGGGAGAGGGGCTGAGTTTGGCAGGAAGGGAATGTAGCATTTGGGTGCTTTTTGCTATCTTCTTATTTATGAGGAAGAAAATCACATTTTCATAAATCTATGTGAGAAAACCTCTGAATTGTCCCCCATTTCAACTCTATTCTGCAAGAGCAGAGCAGTATCAGGAGTGTTAAGGGAGCAGAACCCTGCCTTTCTTGCACGCAGGTTTTCTGGCCTTTGAACATCCAGAAGCGTCTGTTCTCTGAGAGAGTGATGACCTCTTGCCTCTCGAGGTCGTGCTCGGCCTGAAATGAGGTTCATTTAGGAAGAGACTCCATGCAGCTCCTCAGAAAGCCAGTTGTTACCTCCTATGGCTCCCTAGACAATTTAGGATTTGGAGACCTTGGGATCCGACTTTAACAAAACCAAGTCATTAACCTTTTGTCTTTTAGTGTGGAAAGATGAGCCATTATGCCAGAAAGTGCAGTAAGACTCAGCTGGTGGGAGTTATCAAAAAATGAGCCCTGGTCTGTCTGGGGAATTGGAAGACCTGGTGATGACCCCCAGTGGCCCTTCTCCGGAAGTCTGCTCCCAGCACCCCAGGGCGCCTGCTACCCGCCCAACGGATGTGAGGTACAGAAGCAGCCATGGCGCTGAGCTTGATTTCGCTTCATCCTGGCAATGAATGAGCTTCTAAAAATATAGGATTGGAGGCAGAGGGCCTGTAGCAGGCATGAGTCGCCCAGAGCACGGCGGGGGCTGGGGGGCATGGGGGAGCACATGGACACCCCAAAGCTGGAGCATGCAGGAAATGTGGTCATTACATATGCTCAACCCTCGCACAGCTGAGGAGAGCCGGCTGCATGTGGCATCTCCCTTGCAGGTGGTCCTGAGCCTCTCAACTGGCAATTAAATCAAATGGTTTTCTTTAGCACACCAGCTGCTTTCCCGTACGGCCTCCTTAAACTTCCAAATATACTCTGTGCACACTTGATGTGGGGACTCGTGGGGAGGCAGGTGGAGCGGGCTCACCGGGCAGGTAAGGCAGACACGGTATTACCGGTTCAGGCCAGACTCTCTGCTACTTACTGTACAACTCAGAGCCCCTGACCATGGAGGAAGGAGGGGGAGGTTAGGCTGAGTCTTTTGGAGAAATGGGGAAGAACAGAGATTTGGGGGGGTCTGAGGCTTGCTCCCTTCTGGCCCATGGTGTCATAGAGCATAGCTGTGTAGGCAAACTCCACCCCAAGTCTGGGTCCTCACCCAGGAAAACGGGCGTGAGAACAGTAACCCCCACAGGGGGTCATAAGGATGAGGTGAGAGCACCTCCTACGGAGAGCCCTGCACAGCACTGGCCTCGTGAGCACCCCCGCAGCTGGATGTCAGTGGGTTGTAGTGGGGTCTCTCTGGCCAAGTCCAAGTTTAGGATCTGAATTTAGCATGACGCCAGGAGGCGTCCTGGAAGAGCTGCTGTTATTTAATTCTTACTGTGTCAGACCTTGCGGGACTCGAGTCTCTGCTTTGCTGATTCTACCCAAAGATTTCCAGTCTCACCCAGGTAGGTGCCATTACCACCAGGGTATTTACAAAAGAATGCGGGTGACGCCTTCCAAAGGGAAGACACTGTCTTAGAAGGGCCAGGGAATTGCTCCGCCATGCTAACCGGAAACAACTAGACAGAGCTCTCCTCCCCTCGGCCGCTGACTTCATCCTTGTGGACAGTTCTAGCGGGTAGCGACGTACTTCTGAAAACCTCTTCCCTAACCCTGGGAGTGTGTTACAGAATGAAATTATTCCCAGTGGGGATAATTCGAGGGGAAAAGAGAAGGGATTGTGAAAATGTAGCTAAACAGAAGACTCAGAATTCAAATGCTGATCTTTAACCAGCAAACCTGCTTTCTTGTCATTTTGAAGGAGAAAAGAGGGATGACCTCATTTTTGGGGGGCATAACATCACAGGCAAAGGTGGGGAGGGGGGTTCAGGCACGTCTAGACATATCACCAAGCCCCTGTGCTGGAGAAAGCCGCAGCTGTGCTAGCTGAAACCCTGGCAGCCTCTTCTAGCTGACACCCCAGTCCCTCTGGAGGCCAAAGCAGACGTCATCAAATTTGAAAAACACTGAATATTTTGATGAGGAAGAGACAGAAAAGCCACCAGCCCCACAGAGTCCTGTTACAGTGAAAGGAATTTCTAAGTATGTCACTGGATTCTTGGGAAGGGGTAGAGGTTCTGGAAAGTTTTTGGGGAGAAGAGAAACAGAAACCACTTGCTCACTGCCGCACTCACTTGAGCCCTGCGAAGAGGTGGCAAGACTCTGCTTAGTGTGCGGGCTTCCTTTAGTGAGCTTCAAAAATACCGAAGATTCCCACAGGCTCATCTGCAACTCCACAGGCCCCTACTTTGTTTCTTACAACTGCAGAGAAGTGATCAAAGGCCCAAACAGCCTCACCACTGAGGGGGAGGGTCTGATGTTTGCTAATATTCTGCCGACCCAGAGGCTAGTCTGTGTTGTATATACATAGCCCAGTCCCTAGCGAGGGTGAACAGTCAAGTGCCATGGCTGAGGAGAACAACTTTAGGGACAAAGATATATTAATTTTTATTGACAAAGTGGGAAGTAGCTATTTAAAAATTCTGATGAACTCGGTCATCTTCACATCTCATTGAGTAAGAGCAGCTGTTTCTTCAGTAACTGTCAGTCACTTCTGAGACCAACCCAACCACCCAAAGGAATTTCCAGACAGAACCAGATCTGTCCACAGTAAAAAAGTTATTTCCTATGTCATAATTGGATTCCGGTAATTTTATTCTTTTCACTGCCTCTCCCTGCCCCCAATACAATTTTAAATTCTTAAGTGTCCTGCAGTTGTCTCCACCGTCCTCTCCTTGGAGTTCCAGAGCTTTCTCGAGCGGTGTCCAGGTCAACATTACTTACGCCAGCGCTGCATCTCTTTGGGTAGAGAGAGAGAATCGTAAGGACGCACAGGCTACCTCCGTGGACAGCTCCATCCTGCCTCTACAGACCATTCTGTCATATTTTTGTTTCATCAATCTAGAAGAGTTTTAGGCACAACGAGAATTTTCTGCAGACGTTTTCAGTCTCTTCAGAAATTGAAAAACCTCTCAGGTATCAACGAAAGGTTCCCTGTTAGGCAGGCTATATTTTGAGGGAGCCCCTGTTCCCTGTGAAAGAAACAGCTCTTGGTTCTGAGCATCCTGGTTCATGTAGGGACCAACGCCACCCCCCACCCCCCCACCCAGGGGTGTTCTATGGGAGACAAAGCAGGGCTCTGCCGCGGCTCCTGCTCTGCCCCTTGACCTGGTTCCTAACTAGGCATTGAACTAAAAACTCGAGTGAGTCAGATCTTGTATTTTAGGAGCCTTACTCAGTTTGTGAATTCTACTGGTCTTTAATATGTTAATGGCTATCTCGTATTTTCACATGGAAAAATGCTGGGTTTTAAATAATCTCCAATAACATCTTAAGAAAATTTTTAACTATAAGGATATCTTTATAAAATAACACTTTAAAAAAATGAGCATCAGTCATCTTCCTCCCGACAAGACAGGTGCTGGAAGCAGCTGCCGAAAAGGCGCCAGGCCGCGCACACAGGGACGAGCGACAGCTCCTGGTGTGTTAAAGAGGCTTGTTCTAATCCTAAGCAGAAGTTCTTGGGGAGGAACCGAGAAGTTACCTAGGAGAGAGCCCTGATCTCCCAGGCACAGAGTGCTGGGGGGGTTAAAGACCACCAGGTCCGCAGGGACACAAGGGCAGGTACGCAGGTACGGGAATTCTAGCCAGATCTTACAAAGGCCTGCGCCACCCAGGCCACTAAGAGACCCCCTGCACCTCGGGGTCAGATGCTGCAAAACTGGAACATAAGAAGCAGCCTGGAGGACCCGTGGAGGTCCCCGTGACGACAGGTGGCCTGTGATCAGGCTGAAGCACAGGGAGGCTTACTCAGATGCCTGAAGCTCCAGCTGCAGCAGAGGACAAAGTAGCCGGAGACAAGCATGGTGAGGCCGCCGACTCCGCTCCTCACAGTGGTGCGGCACTGGATCCAGCCTGTACAGAGAGAAGCAGGTGTGACGTCACGGCGAAGGGAGCCAGGGCCACTGCCTGCCAGTCATCCCACGTCTCCTAGTGAGCTCGGCAACGGAACTGTAAGTCAGAGAATTTACATGCCACTATATACGTGTGTATGTTTAGAATGAAACAGAATTCAAAATTAAAATCCAGACGACCTTGATTTCAATAAATTTAAGTTACTCTTCTTTTTGGGAGTTTGGCCAAAATCTTAAGTAGGGAGTTGAGGAACAGCTTCAGGGTGCTCCTGGATTGGGATGATCAACGGGGAGGGCAAGAGGGGGCAGGTGGCAGAGAGGCAGGCACAGGTATTCAAAATGAAAACTGCGAGAAATGGGCGGCCACTATCCTTGGTACCTTTCGATTATGTCAGACTCCAGAACAAAAACAGACACCAGAAGAGCAGGAGGACCAGAGTTGTGTCTTTCCCTGAGCCTTGCCCTGACGGTCAAGGCTGTTACCAAGAGAAGAGACATGCCTTCGAGTGCTCGCACCAGCGCGGGAACCCAGCCGCCAGCGACTCCAGCCTCACCTTTTTGCACAGCTCCCAAGAGCCTCGTTAGAGAGAAGCCGGCGGTTGTAAGTCTGGTCGGGGGCTCCAAACTCCTTACAGCAGCCAAACTTCTTTCCACCAAGGGAACTACGGTTCCAAACAGAAGTCACTGAGACAGTTGATTGAAACTCACCCCCTTCCCCAACAACCAGCGCCGAAGGGTTCCGAGGGCGGGCCTGCAGGAAAAGTGCATCCGAAACAGGTGGACTCACGTCTGTGTGGGGCTACCGCTCACAGCTTTGAAAGTCATTGAAGGTCAAATACACAAAGAGGCTCTTCAGCAGGCCCAGGAAGCTGCTGGAATCAGGACCTCTGTACATTTCTGATCTGATGACCCCTGCAGATGCTTAATGAAGCGAATCGCTTATATTTTCTATCCTCTGCTAAACCTTTTCGCAAAAAGCCCTTTGTACCACTGTGAACTACTGCTGACTCCACCACCTGGCCCAGTCTGTCCTGCGGCCACAGCAACTGCTGACCAGCAGTTCTCAGTGATGTTCAGAGCCCGGGAAAGGGCTCCACCCCTTATTCACAATCTCCCTACACCTTCCTGTCTGTTTCTGCCAGGTAGGCAGTCCCTCCCCTTGCTGGTTCTTGGCTCTTGGTTTGGATCATCAGGACGGAGGAGACACTGAGCAAATATTTACAACAGGTTTAGCAGGTGTGATAAAAGTTGTGGATATAAAAATATCCAAGTGCGCATTGGATTCGGTGACAATGAGACCAATGTTGGCCACTGAGAAATCACAACAGAAAAAAATCCTCTTGCTAGGTAAGGTTAGTCTCTCAGCAAACAATTCCCCACAGAACCCATTCATCTCAGGAAAACCTGAGGAAAAAGATGGGGAGAAGCAGCTTCATGAAAACTGCACTTGTACAACCACCTCCTCCTCAGAGGCACCGGGACTGCGTGGCGCCTGACGGTCCTTTCTCCAGCCAGCGGGCCTATCCGCCCTACGCTCAAGCTTTCCTGAGGGACATCAGCTCAGGCCCTGAGCTGGGCCTGATGAGTGCAGGCCAGGCCAGCTCAGAGCCCCCGGAAGTGCTGTCGAATTTTCTCATGGCCTTCACGCGTGTTGGCCAAGTATTCTGGGGTCTGATCCACATCCGCTCTGGCCTGGCTGTGAACGGGGACAGCTGGAACCCGCCGCCAGGCCTCTGCGCCTCAGCTCCAGACACTGTCCTTTACCTGCCAAGCAGATCCTCACATTTCAAACTAGCATGCAAGATTAACCCTCCAGTGACAAGGCCCTGCTCCATCGCGCCTGCTGTGAACCTGCACCTCTCAACACCCCAGAGCCTCTCACGTCTCCTGCTCCCCACTGCCCAGTGGGGATTCCAGCATATCACTGGGCTTACGCAGTCTCTGGCTATTGACAACTCACATGCTCTCTTATTCGCAATACTCTTCCACGGGCTCTGCTGGCTGACCATGGGCCTAATCCTGACTCGTCAGATTCTACTCAAGTTCTGCTCCTATTCCAAGCCCCTCCTATACAGGCCGCACCTCTCACACCTCGCAGGACTGCCCTACTGCTGGAAATGATGTTGGAAGATCAGAGCTTTTATTTAGCTGTTTCTGGGCCTCTAAAAACCCATGATCTCATGAGGTTCGTATACTTACCTCCTGGTATCTTCATGAGCCAAATTTTGCTTTCTGGAGTTACATAAACTGTTCTGCAAACCTCCATTCCTTCCCTCACCATCTGTTTGAGAAATTCCCCCTGCTGGGTCTGAGGTACCTGGTCCAATGCCATTACCCACATCACCACTTTGCAGACTTGGCTGCACTTCAGAGACACCTAGGAAACATCTGAAAATGATTCTTAAAACAAGTTCCTTCAGAACCCACCCCTGGGGACGTAGACATCTCTAATAAAATGCCCACGTGAAACTGTTAACTGTCCAGGTTTGGGCAAACTCTGAATCCCTAAAACCAAGGCTTTCTGGCTTCTGATAAAGCTTGGCCAAGTGCTCCCACTGACCTCTCAAGGCCGCGGGGGGCCTGAACGCTTTTTCCTAAGGATCCCTCTAAATGCTGGTACTGTTGAGTCTCCTGAGTTGAACCTTGAACATCTGAAATCTATTTTCTCTAATACCAGGAAAACAACTCCTTTTGGTACAAAGTTCAAGAAAATCCTTCTCCCCAAACCTCAAAAGATGGCTCCTAAGGTGGCTCTCAATTCCTGAATGCCAACACCTGCCTCCGGCTATCAGTCAGCCTAGGGAGCTCCCAGCTGAGGCCACCCAAATTTAGCCCCAAGAACTCCAGTGACCTTGCTTCACCCAAATGGCCACCTGCTGTGCCTCCAAGGCCAGGGGCCTTGCCCACTCCACTGGAGTTCAGACACACTCACCCTGTGTCTGAGTACCAGCTGCTTTTGTAGGTTTCCCTACGTAGGAAGGCATACTTGACATCAACGCTGACCTGGGGGTCGCATACCTGACGTCTGACCTGAGGGTGGCAACTAGGTAAAGGAGCCTAAATACTAGACCTGTTTACAGGCAAAGCAGTAACTACCGAGGTGGCTGACAACTGGCTCTAGTGGGCAGTACTGCTGCTCTACCTAGCACGCTTCTATCCTGAAACCACCACTAATTAAAACACAAATCACAAAAATTGGGGTTCAATGAGTATGAGTGCTTACAAAACATACCCCAGGGGAAAAATACATGCCTTTAGAAGAGATAAGAAAATTTTTAGGTACAAACCTATTCTGAGTAGCTACAGATCTGTGGTCAGAATAAACTGAAGCGAAGCAGTGAACATGCGCACATGCAGGAAGGATGCGGCCTTACACTGTGGTGGACGAGTGTGTGTGCATGTCCCAGCACCTCCTGGCAAGGAACAGGAAGAAACTACATATAGTAACTAGAGGACAGTCCACTAGCTAAGGAGGGAGGATACCTGAAAAGCCTGTCAGGAACTTGGCTCCTAGTGTGGGCCTCAGGTTAAGTATCCTTTGAGCAAGGAGCATCTAGAAGTTTCTCCACAGTGATTAGCAATCCAGGTCAGCTTTGATGTCAGGTCTTTCCCTGATTCTCATGTCCTGAGGCTCAGTCACTGGTTCCCTTCTTGTTTTCTAGTCTGTGGACTAATTTTTCTAGTGCATGGATTTTTATACCTTTTCCCCACTTTTTACCACACCCTCCACTCCTGGTCCTTGACTTTCACTGGTTCATCCCCTAAAACTCCATTTTCACTTACTGCCTTACCTGCCACTCCTCCTTGGGTAGTTTTAATCCAGTCCTTACCTAAATCCAAAAATAGCTTCTACTGGGACCTTCTCTGACCATAAACCTGGGGCCAATCTCGTGTACAAACCGGTCCTGACTGAAATCTGCACCGTGCTTGCTCTATCTGATAGACCTTGTAAGCCTTATGCTTTTCTTGAGTCAGATTAGCTGAACACCCACCAATTTCTACTGGCCTTGCCTCTCCCCAAAGTAGAAATTCAGCTGTCACACCATCACCAGCCAGTTTGTCCCAGTTCAACTCTCAGCTCTTGGTGGAGTGGAACGGACAGTGATAAACCACCATTCCTGCCCCCGGGAGCACGAAGTCATATTTTCAGAACAATTTTAAGTCCAGTGAACTGGAAGGCCTAAGTAAAGATAAGCCAAACGGTTGAAACTAACAGTATTCTGAATCTAAGTACTTCACAGGGCACAGAGTGGTTTAGACGGGCTGGGTAGCGCTTAAAAATGAGCTTGTTTACCTTGTGAGAGACTTTCCCCCTGGGGACTGATGAGCTGAGGCTTCCAGGCCATTACAGTCCAAAACTGAGGCCTCCCTGGCAACACCCCTAGTCCGAGATAAGCAGGATAGAGCTCCGGAAACCATTCCAGTCCCAGGGAGCTACACAGGGTCTTCCTGTTGGCAACATCATCCACAAAACAAGTGAGATGCTGCCGGCACCTGGGGTGTGATGCTGGGAACCCAGAGTCAGTTCTGGATTCCAGAGAGTTCTGTTCCTCACTTTTTATCAATGCTTTTACATCAGGGACTCGGCTTTGATCGCGGGCTTCTGTTTTCTCTTCCTGAAGACATTTTATAGCCAGAGAGACAAGACTTTGATCACGTGACTGCGATACAGAAAGAAACTCATTGCAAGTTGTCTCCCTTGGCACAAACACATTTAAACTGGGACCTTCATCTCGAGATTTCTTCTTTGTGGCTGGATCACAGGTAATGAAGTTCGTATCATCGTTCATGGAAATCCAGCCTTGCATTTCTGTCATAGATACACTTTTCTCTGTGCTTCCTTTGCTCCCACATGCTCCTTGGTTCTCCTTGTCTTGGATTTTACCTAATGGGTTAATTTTAAAACCTAAAATTTGTGATTCCAGGTTGTCTTCCTGAGTCTCAGAGGCTCTGAGATCAGTGGGGAGTTCTGAGAGGTGCTCTCTGGGCCTGGGCTCGCTCTGCTTGTTTAACAATGATGTTCTCATGCTTTTAGCCCCATAATTGAGAATAACAGGAGAATTACAATCAACAATAGGCTTTTCTAGTAATTTTACTGTATGTTTCTTGCTTGGGGGATTGATTTTGTCCAAATGTAAATTAGCAGAAGTGGACTGTACATCATTAGGTAAGGCTGAAGGATATTTTCTATCTTGATTTGATGAAGAAGGTTCCATTGAGTCAAGAGATAAAGACACTTCTGTTTCTGGACTGCTACTTCGCCCTAACTTAGGCATATCTTTGGTGAGTTCTCTTTCAGGAATAGTGTTCTCTGATGCATAAAACTGAGCCTTGGTTTCTCCCTGGAAAGTGCTGGTTGGCTTAGTATTTTCTAACATCTTGAGGGAGAGTTGAATTCGATTCTTGGTGTCTTTATCCGCTTTTGTATTACTTGTTTTTTCCAAACCAACATCTTGTAGTGGAAAGGACTTAACTGCACCTCCTGGTTTGTCCCTTAAGAACCTAGTATTTCTTTCCCCAGTCTCAGTCCCCAACTCACTCTCTTTCTTTTTTAAGTCTTTGATTTCTCTTTTCTTTTTCTTGGCACGTGGGGGTGTAGCTGGTTTGGACTGAGAAGCATTGTGATCAGCAAGTGCCAGCTTACAGTATGGCAAGTGGGACTTTAATCGTTTAAATGGCTTCATACAATAAGGACATACTTCCATTCTGGGTGGAAGCTCACTCTCCTATTCCTGAAAAATGTAAATTGAGATTATGAGTAAATACCATCCGTTTATATAGTAAACACTAATATCTTTTTGTAAAATAATTCATCGGAAGAAACGATGTTGAAGGAAATTTTAAAACTTTGTTTTGATTTATCCTCTTTTTTAGAGGTAGAAAATAGAAGACATAGTTTAATTTTATGAAAAATCTTCCTGGCTACATTTATGCTTAGTGTTTTACACTGAGAAGTCTTCTGGGAATCAATCACTACAAAACACAGTTTTCCCAACATCCTTATTAGGAGGTAAGCAAGCCCAACACTTAAGTACACAAAATTAATAGCAGATGGAAGAGCTGTCGAAAATACTAGTCAGAATACAATGTTTGCTATTTAAAGTTGTGATGTCAATTGGATATTACAAGAAATTCTTCAAAAATAAAATCTTAAAAAGCCCTTAATCATATTCAAAGAAAGAAGAATGAAAGAATAAAAAAGCTCAAGGAGGATTCTAAGGTTGTTGATTAATGGTTTCCAAAGTGATATATGGAAAATCTATTGGGCAAGAAGAAAATATGAGAACTTCCAATCTAAGCATGAGAAATGAAACGCCACTAACATTTAAAATACTGGTAACTTGCATGTACACAACATAAAAGGCAGGATATCACACAATATATTCACTCAATTCAGGAGCAGAAAATATTTAATAACAAAATTTGGTTGAAAGTTCTTTCTTTTTACATTTCTCTTTTTTTTTTAAGATTTATTTATTTATACAAGAACTGGGGTACAGTCAGAAGCGTGGGAGGGTAAGAGAATTCATCAGAGACAGAGCAGGGAGCAGAATAGGCAGATGGGCTGAAGACACTGCTGAGGGGAGCAGCGGGCGAAGCAGGAGAGTTCTGCCGCACCATGTGGGTTTCTCCCTGGCCAGCCAGGAATCGAACCTGCGCTGCAGAGGCTGCGGACAGCTTCACAGCGCTGCGCTCAACCCACTGAGCCAGCGGGGAGGCCCTCTCACTTTTGTCTACAATGTTCCAGAGGGCTGGGACTGTGTATACTCTGTGCACAGCTACATTCTCAAAACCTAGCACTGAGGCTGGAACATGATGTTTGTTGTATGAATTCTTTCTCTAGGTATAAGTGTGCAAATATTATAAAGGACTGTGGCTATGAATATCTTCTGACCACTAAATAGGTCCAAAAACTCAAACTTTGAAACCATTCACGAAACAAATAGTTATAACCCGGGACAATCCATTTATAAAGCAACCCACCTGAAGTCAGGTAAATCAAGAGTTTTCAGCTAATCGACTACAGGAATACTGGACATACCCTTTTGACAATACAGTTAAAAGTTATGGACTGTTTATTTAGAAAAATGCATTCAACAGAAGCCATTTCGTTGACCTTACACCAATGACACCATAAAGGGCTTGTGCTTTGCTGGGGGGGTGGGGGGGGCGTGTCTCTACAACACTTGGCATTTAATCTCACCGGATCTCCGCAACCTCAGATGACAGCTGGTCGCAGGTGCCTAACTCTTCCTCTTTAGGATGCTAATCTTGCAGTTGCTCCTTCTGAATCTTCATGCCTCACGATCGCAATTCTCGATTTTGATGTCAGCCTCTGCAAGGCACAGAGAAGTAACTCAACAGCACACGCATTGAAAAAAATGTGGCAGGGGGAGGGGTGGCTAGGAGGGATTACGGTCAAAACAAGGGGGGTGGGCCTGGTATGGGGTCTATAACCAAGATGAAAATGCATACATTGTGCAAAAGTGAAAAATGATGTAAAAAATATATAAAATAAAAAAGAAATGTGCGACAGGACAGACCCAGGGACAAATAACTGAGCTGCCGGCGGGGCAGGTCCCCGCCGATGTTGCGGAGAGCGGAGTTAAGGCCTCCCCGGCTCCGGGCGTCGCGCCCATGTGGGTTCTGCCCCCCACGGGCTCCCCTCGACGCGGCCCCGAGACCCCACTTCGCAGCACCCGGCACGCCCGCCTCCCCGACCCCTCAGCACAGCGGGGTGGGCGGGAACCCGGCAGCGCTCGGGGCCGCGTCCCCGCAGCCCCAGCTGGGACACTGCCGGGGTTCACCCTTCGGTTCCGGGGAGCCCCCACCCCGCCCCCGCCCGTCTCTCGACCCTCTCCGCCTGGCCTCAGAACTGTCGCCCCCAGACCTAGGGTGTGGGTCACAGGAAACCGCCGAGCGCCTAGATTCACCCGCAGCGGCGCCCTCGCGCCGCAAGATTAAAGAGCTCAAGCAGCGCCCCCGCGACGCGACCCCCCGAGCGGCCCACGCGCCGCCCCCCAACTCCCCGTCCCGGGACCCGCCGCGCGCCGTCTACACAACTGCCTGATAGTTGTCACCGATTTGAAAAAATACTATTACCTCCCAAGGCTTTCACTCAAACACTGCGTCACGTTATTCTTCTGTGACTGCATTTAACTTACACCTAACTTGTTTTCTTCTTTTAAACAGAGTCCCCTCTTGTGTGCGAACAGGCGAAAATCTTGGCCACCTCTAGCGAGGCCCCCTCTCCCAGGACCTCCCGGTCGCTCCGCCCCCTCCGACCCGCCTCTTCCCGTAGGCGGGGCGACGGGCGGCTCGGCCGAGGTCGCGCCACTGCGCAGCCGCGAGAGGGCGGTACCACGGCGCCTGCGACATGGGGGGGCGCGGAGCGGACGCCGGAAGTGGCGGTGGTACGGGTCCCACCGAGGGGTACTCCCCGCCGGCGGCGTCCACCCGAGCGGCGGCGAGAGCCAAGGCCCGAGGCGGTGGGCGTGGCGGCCGCCGGGACCCCGCAGCCTCTGTTCCCTCACCCCGCGGGGCGGCGTCGCGTCGCTCCCCTCCACCGGCTGCCATGAGCGAGCGCCTCCGCCCCAGGTGAGCTGCGGGGACCGCCTCGCCGCCCCGGCCCCTCGCCCGACGCCCCGTCTTGGGGGACGAGGCCGAGGGGGCGCGAGAGGCGGCGGCCGAGTCGGGGGGGGCCCTCGGGGTCGCCCTCGGGGGGTCTGCGGGCCGGGGGAGGAGCGGAGAGGGATGCGCGAGTGTTGGGGTTCCCGGCCTCTGTGGGTCCTGAGGAAGGGCGCGGAGGCGCCGGGGGCGCCCCCCAACCCCTCTGTCCCCCCCTTCTCTCCCCCCCACCTCGTCTGCCCCTATTTGGAGCGGAGTCTGGTGGGTCCCGGAAGAGAGACGGTGGCCCCGAGGCTTCCCCGTCCTAAATTTGGGAGGGTGGGGGGAGGGGAGGCCTGGCTCGCCGGGGAGGGGGAGCCCCCGGGGCTGGGGGCCGCCGGCTCCCCAAGGTCAGGGGGGAGGCCTGGCTCGGCCCCGCAGCGGGGCAGGGTCGGGCTCGCCGGGGCGTCGCTCCCCGGGCGCTGGGGGACACAGAGGGCAGGAGGCCGACGCGACGGTCGCCTGAACCCCCCGCCGGGTTCTAAACTGCTCGGTTTCCAGCCGTTCGGCCCCGGAGGCGGAGATGGGGTGGCGACGCCCCGGCCCGCCCAGCCTGGCCCCCCGAACCCGGGTCGTCTTCACCTCGGGGTGTTTTTTGAGTGCTTGCTTGACAAGTCCTGGGTGATGGCCGGGCCAAGCTGCCATTTCTTTTTTTTTTTTTTTCTCCCCTCTTTTTTGCTTTCACCCGTAAGAAGATGGGGGGGGGGAGTTGCAATGGGGTGCCCCAGATGGAAGGAGAGCAGCTTTGCTTCACACTAGGGAAGCCCCTCACTGTGGCGTTTGCAGCGGAAGCCTGTGGCTCCCCAAGGCCAACTCTGTTTTTTCCTGATAGTCTCAGCGAAGCAGTGAATGAAATCGTCTTCCTCGGTGGATTATCCAGGGTCTTGTCCTCTCGTTGCTTGTTTTCCCCGGTTCTGAATGTCATTGACCGTCTGTCCACCAGGACCCTGGTCTGGAGGGGAGTTCAGTTATGGGATTAGGATTTTAGAAACATCCTGAGGTTGTTAGGTCCCATGGTGAAAATCTAGGGTTTCCCAAACATCCGTCTAGGGTTATTGATTGGGGTCATGTAGAGAGTGGGGCAAAGAATAGCCTTGTATTTGGTTGGCAAGAGTCAACCAAATTTCAAGATAGGAAATACCAGATTTTAGTAATGAATTGGGGAAGGATCCTTAGGTAGAGTGAGCCTGATCTCACTGCCCTCTGTTTCCTTCCCTGGTAGTCTCTTGGGGTGGCTCACGTAGCTGAAAAAAAATCTATTTCCTACAAATGGATGATCCCTCTTGTCCCGTGCTGTGCACAAGGAGCCTGAATGTCCTTATCTTGGCAGCAGATTCCTTTTATCTAGTGCACAGATGATGTGGACATGGTGATACTAGTAACTTCCCTTCCCACAAAAGGGGTTGTTAGGTTTGGACAGGGGGAGTCCTACCTGCTGTCCTCTTTATCCCATGCTTCTTGGTATGGGACAGGCCAGGTCTGCAGGTGTGATGGGCACTTTGGCATCTCTTCGTCAGCTCACAAACCGGAATCTGCTCCTCGGGTTTAAGATGAAGGGTTGAGGGCCTCCCCGGTGGCGCAGCGGTTGAGCGCTGGGTTGCGAGGCTGCCCGCAGCCTCTGCAGTGCCGGTTCGATCCCCGGCTGCTCCCCGGCCACCGGAGGAGGGTCCCGCATGGCGCGCAGACCTCTCCTGCCACCCGCTGCTCCCCTCAGCAGTGTACTTCGGTCCTTCTGCCTGCTCTGCTCCCCGCTCTGGCTCTGGTGAATCCTCTCACCCTCCCGCGCTTCTGACTGTACCCAGTGCATGTATAAATAAATAAATAATTCTTAAAAAAAAAAAAAAAGATGAAGGGTTGACCTAAAGTGGTTGTTTTTCAAACTGTTCCTTTGGAAACTGTTTGCTGGGAAAGCCAAAGAGGGGTGGGTGTGGTAAGGAAGCTCTTACTTTAACCAAAATGGATCTTTTATCTCTCTTCTATTGAAGATTTTTTTTTTTTTTAAGTGGGAAGAAAGGCCACTGCTACTTTCTGAAGAAAACCTTGAAAACCCCTAGTCACCATACTGTAGCATTTCATCTCTGCTCAGTCTCTCAGAGATGACGAAAGATTGGGGAGAAACGAAGTGATGAGAAGTGATGGCATCTGCCATCTTATAAGTAACGTGTTAAACACTAATCTGCGACCAGATGGATGGCTAGGGAGACTATAATCAATTATAGGGTGGCTGCTAAAATGATAACCTGGACTGTGGCATTCATGTCACAAGCTATAATCTGACCTATTTTGCAGGTGGGACTTGCCAGTTATTAACGATTTGTTGAAAGCAGAATGGACTCTGGGAAGAGCCTAGGAAAAGGCGAATGCGCAGGCAGCGTGTGCGTTCTTCAGTTCAGCTGAAGGAGAGGTCCCCCAGTAGGCCAGAGAGGCAGTTCTGGTACCTGGAGAAATCAGCCGATTCTGAGGCAGAAATAGTTCATGTGATTTCCCATAGTTTTATTAAAATCTGCCACACTGGCCATCCTTTTTGATCCTTTTTGTCCTTAGGCACTCATTGCCTTGCAGCCTCTTTGGCATTCTTATTCTTGTCGCAGGAAAGCTGTGTTGCCCATTTTAAATGAGGAATTGCAAAGTTGTGGTCAGGCTCCTAAGTTTGGGTAGAGTGACTCAGCAGCCCAAAGCACAATCAGCTGTTGGCAGGCTGATAAGAGTGGGGGAACCAGCCACACTGCCATTTGGTGAGTTTCACCTTGGGTGTCAACCAGCCCCCCTCAGCCCTTACTCTGGAGCGGCAGCACATCCCCACCAGCATTCTCTGGCCATTAAGAATGAAAGAAGCCGTCTCTTGGTTCAAATCTATGATACAAGTGCGTATATTTAATCATTTTTTGAAACTTGTATCTAGTTTTTTGACCTCCAAATACTTCAAAATAATGTGCAAATCAGATCTAATCTCTTGAGAGAAAGGTAGGGAGCCAAAAGGAGGATCTTATTTTACAAATAACAGTCTAGGGACAAGGTAGATGGTGTGGCCCCTCTCGGGGTTGGCGACTGCTTGATCAGAATGACACATATGTTCCTTCTTGTTCCAAGCCTAAACTGGGATCCATGCTTATAAATAAAATTAGATTGATGCAGAATGCTACTGAGTGCAGGCAGGTGAGCTCAGGGGGATCTTTGAAAGTTTCCCCAGTATTTAGACTTCAGCTCAGAATTTAGGATTAAGCACCTGCCACAGTAAACCACCATACTCAACTATACTCAATCGGGTTTTTTAGAAGGTACTGTGTGTTCCTAATTCAGTACTTTGTCAAAAGCCATTTTTCTCTCCCACTAGCCTTTTGCCTCTTAGCTGTAGAAGTTTGAACCTTTAAGAATTTCCATTATGCGGCTTTGTATTAATTGGCTTCTAGCCAGCACGGTCCGGTAGAATTTTCTGCAGTGATGAGAACCTGCCCTCTCTGTACTGTCCAGCACAGTAGCCACTAGCTGCACGTGGCCATTGAGCTCTGAAATTATGGCTAGTATGATAAGGGAGCTGGATCCTAAGTTTTATTTAATTTTCATTTTAAGTAACCACATGTGGTTGATGGCTGCTGTGATACTTCCATTTAGTTCTCTTTCCTAACTGGGGGTTTGAAGTCCTGACAGCACATGATCCCTGCAGAGAAGACTTACAGATTTTGTCTCTGTTGCACATCTGAGAACATTCGACTGAGAAAGATGTGTGATTTTTCTTTAAACCTGCAAATTTTAAGCAGCTTGTGCTATAATCTCAAACACTCTTGTGAAATAACTTGCCATAACAATGGGTGGTATGGCCAGAATAATCAAGCTAAAATGTCCAAGACCACCAGTTCCCGTGATTATCTAAAAAAGTCACTTAATACTCTAGAGGTCATAGAGCTTTTGTTTGATATGACAGTTGGGAAGAAATCAGAAATGAGAGAAAACCAGAGATTCAAGCTAGCACAAGCTTCTAATGGCATTCGTGTGTATCACCATTTTTATAGGATTTAAGTGTAACTAGGGAAGGGTAGTCACTGCTGTCTTAGGTGTTGTCATCTAGAAGGTAATCAGATGAGGTAAGTTGGAATTGTAATTTCAGGAAATGTAGAAAGAAGGTAACTTTAATTAGGTGGCATTTGAAAGCCGAGTTGTTGAGTCCTGCTCATTTATTCCCAATAGGCTTTAAAATTGTCGTGATTCTTTTTAAAAACTAGTTGCACTAACTTGAGCTCACTTCACTGTTGCTATTTTGTATGTTTACTCCTTGTGCCCAGGAGTGGTGGCTTCCAGCTCTGAGCCTATTGGCATATCCTCACATGATGGGTTGTGTTTTCCCAGCTGTGATGGCCAACTTGCGTGTTGTCATAGTTTACCGTGGTGAGTGATCAGGAGATCAAGCGTTGGATTTTCCCTCCTGTCCTTTATTTTTAGGAAAAGGAGAAGGAACGGCAATGAGGACGACCACCACCTCCCCCCGCAGACCAAAAGGAGCAGCAGAAACCCCGTCTTTCACGACTCCTGGGACACAGAGGTAGGCAGTGTGCTCAGTCTCTGCTGTTTTCATTGCTTGAGTGAAATAACCCCATTTCTTCCCTGTAATTAAAATGATTCGTTGGATAAATAAAACTCATCTTACTTGATGTCAGTGCTTTCATCCAACTTTTTTTTTGGGGGGGTACATCCCCCTTTGAAGAAACTGTGCACCCAGCGAAGGGTGTATGCATATATATTTAGATATGTGTGCACATTCTTCTGTGTATGAGCATGTACAGCTCATGCAGACACACACCTCAGAGTGTGTATTTAGTAAAAATCAACTTATTTTCTAATAGCTTTATAAACATAGAAGAAATCAACTTTTTTCCTAATAGTTAGCAAACCATTAATTGTCCTTAAGATAAGCATATTTTGTTGCTTCAATTCATATGTCTTTAAGAGAAACTGTTTGCATTTTGGTAAATATATAGGAAATCCTGTTCTTAATTTTTCATTTATCTTCTAAAAGAGCGCCTAAGGCGCCAGGGGAGAGGGAGATGCTGGGTAAATAGTTCCTAAAGCTTCGGGTGCTAGAGAGTGTGTTTCTGGGGGAGAAACTTCCCTTGCACTGGAAGGGCTGTGGGGGCATGGGAGAGAGAAAAGGAAGCTAACTTGAATTAATGCTACTGCTAAGCTACGAACTTAAGGATATTGACTCTTAACAGCTGTCACCCTAGCAGAGAACATCCTTAGTGGCCAAAAATTCCTAAGGCCTTGCCTCCCAATCTCAAGCAGAATTTCAGATTTTGGTTGTGGTTCTTCAACATGTGCATGTTAATTATTTTTGATCCTAGGGTCTGACTCATATCCAGTGTTTTGCAGAAGTCCAGAGTCACTCCTCCGAAGGGGAAAATTCAGTAACTCTCATGAGGGTAATACTCACTCGGGGGCAATTCATGAAAAAGTGCAGATTATATCTTTTCTGTGGAGACTTGAGTTTCTTTTGCTTTTACCCCATTTAAAAAATACCTCTATCATGCTGTTGGGTTTTTTTTTTTACCTCTGTAAGATTAAAAGCAGAGTATTTGAGCTTTTTGTTTAATACGATAATTGGGAAAGCTCATGGTGGAAGAAAACCAAAGATTTAGAGGCTGCCATGAATATCTGATGATAAAAGTAGCAACAGCTGAGTTTCCATTCCTCTTTTAAATTAATGGGATTATTCATTAAGAGTGGGCAGTGATTATTTTCATATTGGCATCGTTTCTTGTTTCTGTAGATAAATCCTGCTATGCATGGATATATTTTTATTTATTAAATTAATTGAAAGGCCTAGGCGATCTAAATCCTGGCATGGACCCCTCACCCCCACCCCAGTTTTTGAGGTGTATTTGACCTAGTTAGCTTCAGGTGTACACCAGGATGGCTTGATGTTTGTGCACAGTGTAAAATGGTTACCACCAGGAGGAGTCTAAGTAACATGTAGTTACAAACTTTGTTTTCCTTGTGATGAGAACTTTGTGCTGTATCTATAACTTGGATGCCTGAGAACAGGAATAGAAATATTGTCATTAAAAAAATTTCTGATCTCTAGTTTTCAGTGACTCCTTAACTCCTTTTTGTTTAGTTTGTTTTTAACTGCCATTTGTAGAAAATAACCCTCACTCCCTTTCTAAAAAAGCTGGGCATGGGCATCACGAAGAAAACAGTGTAATCTTGGTTCTTGTGTCTTGTTCTTACTTGTCCAAAGAAAATCAGTGGTTAAATCACACAGTAATCACATTCTGAAGGGTGGACTGGATCACCTCTGTTGTATTTTGTGGACAATACAGGTAGTTTTTGTTGTGGTAAGCTGCCCTCAATGGTAGGTCACCCCTGGGTGGCCACAGCCATTTGACCAGACCAGACTTTCAGCCTTGCCCACCCAGCCCCTCGTGGTGCTCCGAAGGAGTGGCCTCCTGTGCTGTGCTTCCCCGCTGGTGACGAGGCCTGGGACAGTTAGGAACCAAGGCAGGGGAAAATCTTTAAAATGGAAAGTTAGGCCTTGAATAATTGAATTGTAGAATTCATCATTTTATTTATAGCACAAAAAAAACAAGTATTGGTTGCTTTTTTACAATTTTGTGTAATGGGAAACAATGAAATCATTTGTTATGAATGGATTATTAATTGTATTAGTTTATATAATAAAAACATTAACAAAAATATTGTGTTTTAATTCTAAAAAAGGGCCAAGGTAAATTTCCTTGTGACTAGCTCGATTAAAAGACACTATTTCCTGTGTCTTTCCTGAAATACATAAAATTTACACTTCTTTTTCTTGTAACTTAGAGAACTTTCATTTGGAAGGAATTTGTTTTAATTCTAAGAGATTTTTAAAACTGTTGTTTATAATTAGTTTCCAAAAGTTTCCTTTTCTCCTAAATGTAACAAAATTGGCAAGTGCTGGGAAATAAGATGTGAAGTGTTTGATTTATGTTAAACCATGCGACAAGTAAATCTTAATTATCTGTGAATCTTAATTATCTGGTATATGCCTGTTTTTTTGTACATGGCATGAAGTTAAAGAATGGAAACTTTCCAGATAAGTTATGAAAACAGAAACCTTTAATCTACTTGTGCATTTCTTTCTATCCTTTGGTAGTATTATCTCCACATTTTAGGTGGAAAAATTGGGGCACAGAAAAATCAAGTCCCTTGCTCTAAGACACAGCTAGTAGGAGGCAGAGATGGTGTGCCCCAGCTCTTAATTGAGGGGCTGCCTGCCCCTCGCACCAAAACCAGGGCAAAGTACTGAGAGGCTTTGCATAATACATCTGGTCAGGTCCTAGAGCTCTCTAGAATCATAGGACCAGAGAAGAATAATTTTCCTGTCTGTCAACTGAAAATATTTTTTCCAAGTAAATGTGAAAGCAACTTTAGAATCTTGCTAGAAAAGATTAAGAAATCAGGGACTAGTGGTTTGTGTTGTGTGTGTGTGTGTGTGTGTGTGTGTGTGTGTGTTTTTAAACAGATTGGTACTTGAATTGAAGACCTTCAGTTTTAACTAAGTGTCTTAGATGTAATGTTTTGTGACTTAGGATATTATTTCTTCAGTTGAGATGTAGTACACTGGTATAGGATGAAAACAAATTTTTGTAAAGCTATTCTGGATGAATCATATTAGTTACTAAGTTAGGTTTGTTCTTCAGTGAGTAAGAAGTGAAACGATTTATCAGTGTGTGTGTCTTCCTGTTGGGTCCTATACAAAGGCAGCGACATCCCCTGATCTGGGACCATTGTTTAGATGCGTAAAAGCTTGCTAAATTTATTTCGGTTTCTTCTTAGGGACTGGCCTCTTGGCTCTGAATCCTGTGTTATAGTAGGAAAAAAGCTCTTTGCTTTCTTTCGTTTGTAATATCTTTATTTACAAATTGGGTGTTCCATGTAAATCTCGTTTATAAATAGTACTGCTACTTGCTACATAAGAGCAGTATCTTTGGAAAATACCAAGACCCCAAGATTTTTAAATCACTTAAATTTATGAGGATCATTTTGAACTCACAAGTAGAGCATGAGAAAATGTGGAGATAAAACAGAAGTGACTTACCTGGGACAGCTTGCTGCTGCCTTTTCCTTGTCTCTGCTAAAAGGGTGAAAATTTTGGTGACATAATCTTAAAACCTCAACAGCATTCTGGGAGTGCAGAGGCATGACAAATTAAAAAAATGAACCAGCACCATGAGAATGCGTGTGTCACTCACTACATTGAGAAGTCTCTAAACCCTTGGATCAGAATGAACTGAATATTAGGTGATTTTTAAAAATAGCGCAAATTTAAATGACAATGGGAATATTTAGTGTAAATTTTTTTTAAAGGTATCTTAAGGCTTTTGAGTTTTGCCCATTCTCCTCTTTAACCTGTCCTGTGGGAGCAGGTGCATCCTGAGAGACAGAACTGCTATGGCGGACTCCGTTTTGGGTAAAACAGTTAGGGTTGTGTGTTGCAATTAACTTCTAAAAAGGTTCATTAAAAATGGAGGAACAGGCTTTCAAAAGTTAGTGTGAGCTGTTTTGTCGGTGTTGAGAACTTTGCTCACAGTTTAAGCCCTTGAAATGTTTGTGTTATGTCCTATCAGCTCACTGCACCCCTGGGTGCTGCAAGTCGTTGCAGACTGAGTGTGAGGTGTGTCATAAGGAGGAGCCAGGCATGCGTGTGTTTTTCTACAGGTGGCAGTTTTGGGTGTTTTGGTTTTTTTTTCTTCTTTTTTTTTGGCCTGTTGAAAATTTTTTATTTTAAAGATTCATTTATTTATACAAGCACTGGGTACAGTCAGAGGCACGGGAGGGTGAGAAAATTCACCAGAGCCAGAGTGGGAAACAGAACAGGCAGACTGACGAAATACACTGCTGAGGGGAGCAGTGGGCGCGGCAGGAGAGGTCTGTTGTGCCATGTGGGACCCTCGCCGGCAGCCGGGGATCGAACCGGTGCTGCAGAGGCTGCAGGCAGCTTCGCAGCCCAGCGCTCAACCGCTGCGCCACCAGGGGAGGCCCTGGCCTGTTGAAATTTAAACAAAATGAAGGAGAGAAAAAAGAATATTTTAGTTGGGAAGCTACTTGCAACCTGTTACGCAGTCCAGCTTCCTCTTAGGGAAACTAAGGCACAGAATGGAGATGCCTTTTTGTCCCTGACACACAAAATGGGCCACCTGCATTTTCTCAGTGGCCTTAAGTAGCCCACCACCATCATTTGGAATCTTATGCTCGCTCACTGCTGTTAGTAGACCTGGGCCTCTCTGAAGTGACTGGCACTTTGGAAGTGCAGGTCTACACAGTAGCTGCTGTGAGGCTGGGGCCACCTCTTGCACGGAGTCCACATTCTGCATTGGCTTGAACTTGATCACCAGCAGGGATGGAGTGTCTGCAGTGAGTGAGATTTCTCTTTTCTTTTGAGGCACACATCAATTAAAGGCACCACGGAATGGGGAAGTAGAGGTTAAGGGGAAAGCTAGGCCTTGAAAGAAAATAAAATAAGCTATTGATTTGCTTTCTAATTAACAAGTGAAAGCATACACCTCTAGGTAGCAGATACACACTTAGTAGCTAGTTCTGTTTTTATGAAATAGACTCAGCGATTGATATTTCTGCCTGGGCTTTTAAATGTTATTAGCAGAGTAGTCTTGTTGCCTTTCGACCGTGGGTATTCATGGGCTTGGGCTGCCCCTTCCACTGACTTCATACCCTGCAAATTAAAATCAAGGGACCAAGCAGTCTTTGCCTCTGGTGTATCATGTGAACCCTGTGGACGAGGGCCCTGGGTCCTTCTTGCTGTCCTCTGCTTCACAATTTCTGTATAAGTTCCCTTGCTGCCGAGGAGAGTGGAGCGTCCCTCTGCCTTTCTTCATCTACTGTCCTTTGTCTCGGGGCTCCTGAAAGCTCCTGGTCTTCCTCCGCAGTCTTCCTCCGCAGTAGTTCTTTCCACCGGCCCAGTAAGTTCTCTTTTCCCTTCCTGACTAATTTCCTTTCTGCCTGATTTCTGCTTTGCTTACTGTGTACTTTCTCCTTTTGCTCTTTCCACCACTGCCTTGCCTCCTCCCATCCTGGCTTCCTCCTTGAGTCAGCTAGAACTTTCCTCCACGCTCACCAGTGATCTTCCATTCAGCAAACATGCACCAAGCAGCCACTGTTTGCCAAACATTGACTTGAGGGCTCAGGCAGCCTGGGTGTCTCCTTCATCTCCTCTGGGATGTGACGTATCCGCCCCTTTATTACTTTTCCACAGTCCTCCTGCAGGCCTGCTCCCCTCTGGATGTCTCAGAGACCTTCCCCAGCGGCCCCTGCTCCAGTCCTCTTCCTGTACTCACCCAGCATCCTCACTCCGCAGCACAGCTCTCAGCATGCCTTACATGCTCGGACCCGGGGCCCAGAATAGCCTAGCCGTCATGTCTCTTGTGCCTTTTCTCTCACTAACTTCCTGGACTAGATCCAACCCCACACTATTAACTTTTCCTCCCCAAGACATTCTGCCAGTTTTGATCTTCCTGTTTTCCCAGTTTGTCACACCCTGCTTATTAAAATCCTTCATCCTTCTAGGCCCAGTTCAGACACCATTCACATCATGGAGTCGCTCCCAGTTTTCTCCATTGGCATTTGCTGCTGGGTTCCTGTCACTGGGGTGGCTGGGCGCTGTCCTCACCCATGGCCACCCTGGTATTGCCACCGTACTTGTGATTAAGCTCAGTTAATGCCTATTGAATGATCACACAGCCCCAGTGAAATGCCTCCACACACACAGCAGCCGCACACACACATTTGGATGGTGCTTGGATGGCAGAACAACCTGTCTCCTTGAGCCAGGTTCTCCCCGGGTGGGGGCGGGGGTGCTGCCTGGCACACACGTTTTTTGAGTTGCCCCCAGGAGATTCCAAAATAGAGTGCACTGTCAGAGTTCCCTTCTGGGTCTAGCCAGGCCACACATGTGCAGTTACCCAGAGGCACGGTAGGATTTATTAGCCTGCACTAACCTTGAGCCTTCTCTTTTCACACAGACTCACACAGGCCTTCACCACAGCAATCTTAGGAGTCACCTTTGTGTATTGTTTAGAGCGCTGCTTTTCACAGAATCACCGTACATGTAACTTTATTTTGCTCATGTTACACAGATTTGTGGAGGGATTTGTCTTGACGATACCCGGTTCAGATGTTAGCACTAAGCCTAAACTGAAAACTTAGCGAATGAACTTTGTAACTTTAATTTGAATAGCCTGTCCCATGAGTAGTCTCTCTAGGGAATAGGATTCCAGTTTGAAGAGTTTTGGGACTCTTGATTCTCTTCTGGCAGACATTTGCTGTCTTTTGAAGAACAGGCGTAACCAGGTAGATACTTGGGGACTGGCTTAGGGGTTGTAATTACCGAGATCACGTGCTGCCCAGTGGCAGTTCCGCCTGAAAAGCTCCCCTGTGTGGGGGAAAGGAAACTTTTTTCCTGTCTCAGGGGTTTTGGCTTTATGGGCAAAATGATTTACTTCTGTGTTCTATCTTGAGGCACTGATAAAAATTTAAAATTTGATTTTATGCCTTCAGGGTTTGAAGTAACAGTCTTTCCTCCTTTATTCCATAAATTTGACCCTTTGGTGGCTGACAGTTCCAGGACCAATTACAGTTCAAACTTTTTTGACTTGCCCAGAGAAATGGTTTTATTTTGTGACCCAGTACACACCAAATTTATTTGTGAGTAATCAAAAAGCCTCATAAAACAATTACCCTTTCCCGTTTCACATACTTCTCCTGTGCTGGCTGCTGCCCACCAAGTGGGTTTCGCCCTTGGTTTGGAGACCCTCAGCCTCCTGACAGTGAGAAGACTGGACTGGTCTGAACTGGCAGGAAACAGGAACCAGAATGACTTTGAAAGAGAGGTACTGCCCTGCCTTTGATGACAGTGTTATATACGTAATGTTTTATGTGGCTATTAAAATAACACATAGAGTGCATTCACTGGCTTCTTATAGGCTAAAGTTAAAATGTAGCGTTGGCCTGTTCAATGCCAGCAAATACACTGAGCAGTTGCAGATGTTTTTAAACTAGTTTTAAGGGAAGCCAAGCAGTCTTCTGATAGCTTACTGACAATGTGTATTTTTAAAGTCTCAGTCTTTAAGTTAGTAGTAACTGAGGACCGACCCATTTTGTAGTAGCGTTTTGTTGTTGCCCATAGAAATTGGGCAACGTGGGGGTTTCCTTGTTAGACCATGTAACGTGTGCAGCCAGCGACATACAGTGTCTTATTATCTATTTTGTAGTATCATCCAGTAAGCCGCCGTCTGAAAAGCACCAATTCTAAACAAATTTGAAACAACAAAATATTCCCTTTGCAGTGCACAGAAGCAAAAATGCGGTTTCCCCTTCTTGTTACTGTCCTTCCTTCCTACGTCATTACAGGATTTTTAAATTGCATATGTTCAAATTTGAATTTTCTGTGAATATTTTTAACTAAAACACTTGAATCATTTGAGCACTTTTCCCAGGCTTTAAAATGCAAGAAAAGAGCAGGCTTTACTCTAAACTCTTCATTCAGTCCCGCCCAGCTTTTGTAAAAGTCCACACTAGAATTTTTCTCTTGGAATGAAGAAAACTGACATTCAACAGGTCAGGACTTCAAGCTCAACTTCAGATCTTTGGCAAATACATACATACATACATAAATACATACATATCTGGGGCTTTGTTTCCTCATAGGCATAAAACAAAAGAGATAGTAACATTTACCTTACAAAAATTTTGATGAGTTTTTCAAATGGTAATGGTTATAATTTGTGGGACAGCTTTTATGTTACCTTATTTAATCTGTACAACAAACAGAACTGTGATTTTTTTTTCCTTACAGCAATGTAGGTTTTCAAAAAACTTTTTCTTATATAAGATACAATTTACATAAGATTTTATAGCTCTATACTCTTCACTTACATGGGGATTGATAACTGTATATCCCAGCAAGCAACACCCTGGTCCAAGGTAAGTGACATATAGAATCTGTGATTTTAATGAACTCGAGCTAATTGCTGAGCTGGAGATTTGAACCTGGGCAGTCAGTGGCCACACTCCTGACCCTGCTGCCTACCTCAGCTGCTTTTCAGTTTAACCCTGGAGTTCGGGAACAGAAAGCTTGGTTTTAAACTGGGCATGTCATGTGGTAGCATTCTTTGGTTCCCTTAACAGGTTATTTTTTTCCTTCAAAAGAAATATTGGTTGAAGAAGTTATAGAAGATAAAGATATTTTTAAAACTTAGAAGGTCCAAATTCTATTTTGGTGTACGTATAAATACACACACACGCTGAAGAAAAACATCTTTAAAGCCAGCTGATGTATCATACATACTGTTTTGAAACTTGTGAAAAAAGATAAGGACCTTTTTCTTTTTTGGTATACATACATATTTATCATTGTTTGCAGCTGGATAGAATTTTACTTTTATGGATTATGTTTTATTTTTTGTACTTTTTATAGATGTATTATTTAACTAACTTCCCTATTGTTAGACATTTAGGTTGTTTACCCATTTTTAGCTATTATAAACAAGCCACCCTAAACGTTTTTATACATGTCTCTACAAAGTTGAGTTATAAGGCTTTAAAAATGTATTAGAAATCACAGGTATATATGTCCCCACGCCCGTAATTTTCCAGTTATTGTACAGAAATCTTTTCCAGCCTGTTTATTTTAAATAACTTTTTGCTGAATAGTATATACCTTTGCAATTTAGTATAAAATAAGCATATTCTATAGACATGGAAAATTTGACTTATTAGAAACTGATTCTAGTTCTTGCCTTAATTTTCAGACAGTACCGGTAACGAAAAACAGTAAAGAAAACAGACTAAGAGGAAACAGAGTGCTCTGCGCGGTGGGTTTCCAATCTAGTGTAGTGACCTGCTTGCTGAATACTCATCCCCTCCCTGCCTGCCGCCGACCAGAGGCAGTTCTGGCAGGTCACACTGTAGGTCAGGAGAGGTTTTTATGGAAAGCAGTCTTTCTTTTTAAATTGGCTTTGACCTCTTAAGTCTGTAAGTAAGTTTAATTGCCACTGCTGCTTGATCCTGCCATCTGACTTTATTCAGCCCATTAGAATGCCTTCATGATTTTTTTTTTCTGGTTAGAAAAATAGATGGGTCATCTACTAAATGGGCAGTGGGATATGTGACCTGCGAAGTGGTTCCCAAGGAGCTTAGGCCCATGGTGCTTCTTGGAGTAAGTTTTAACAGTGGGTACTTTCTATGAATATTGCGTTCTTTGCTGTTTTCAGCTATGTTATATATGTACAGAGTTAGGTATCATTTTTGATCAGAATATGCAAATGAATTTTTTAAAATCCAGTATCTACCTGGAAACTTGGTTTATAGATTTGTATAGTGACAATATCTAACCACATGGCAGAAAAGTTATACTAAAGGGCAGGAAAAAATATGCAACTATAGTTCCTCCATTCTAACGTAACTGGTTACTTTCTTTCCACTCTTTTTCCCTCATGTGTAGATTTTAGTTAGCTGTAAACAACCATTTCAAAAACCACTGTCTTTGTCTAAGGAAATGTAAATCTGGATTTATCAAAAGGCTTAAAAAAAAATAATTACATGCCAGATCATTATTAGTAAATGGTCTCCTGCATTGATTCTTTCCAGGACAATATTGTGTTGAGATGTAAATAGGAGAGATAGCTAATAAAGTTATTGGGGTTGTCATTTTTAGAAAAGCAATGTTAAAATTATAAAATAATTTGAAATGGATCCCTATTGCCCTCCCTTCTGAGAATCCTGACACTGTGAGGAGGATTTCTGAGTAATCTGATATTAGGGATCGCTGACTAGCTTCTTCAAGGTAACTAAGCCCTGTTAATTATGTTTAAAAAATTATGCATGCACATACACTTAGCAAGCAGAGGAAATGCTAATACAACTTTATTAGGAGTAGGAGTATTTTTCAGGGTATGGGCCCTGCATTCAGAGAACACCATTTTGTATCAAATATGAGAACCAAGATATTGTCACAGCTTCTTATTTTATTTTTTTACTATTCTTTCTTTATTGATGCTTGTAAGAACTGGGGTCTAGGCCTGAGGTGTGGGGGAAGGAGGATTCACCAGAGACAGAGTGGGGGGCAGAACAGGTGGATCTACTGAAATATATTGCTGAGGGGAGCCATGGGTGAGAAAGGAGAGGTCTCCTGCGCTATGTGGGTTTGCTCCATGTCAGGATCAAACTCTTGCGCTGTGGCTGGCGATAGATAGCTTGATAGTGCTGAGACTTTAACCCCTACACCACCAGGGAGGCCCTATATTTTTATTTTAACTTGTGCCTGGAACCCACTTTATTATGACTATACCCTTTTTATACCCCATACCAACAACTGGCACTTTTCCTTGGAGACTGAGAACTTCCTTGTGTGGTTATTGAAAATTATTGGAACAATATTAGATGTTATAAAAGCAGATAGAGAAAATGGGTAAGGAATTAAGATGGAGTTGGAAGGGTTTGCAGTCAGAAGCCTGTCTTGAGTCAGCCTCTGCCACTTCCCAGGAATGTGCGGTGGGATAGTCTCCCCCCTTGCCTTGGCTGGTTGAGAGGATAGAAAGAAATAGCATAGATGATACCTGGTTGATGCTGGTATTCCTCAACCCGGGTAGGAGACAGTCTTTAAAAGTGTATTGCAAATGAAACTACAGTAAAACTGCTTCATCATGACCGTTTTCTTTTTCTCCCAGTCGTCAAGCAGCGACAGTGGCGGGAGCAGCAGCAGCAGCAGCAGCAGCATCAACAGCCCGGACAGGGCCAGTGGGCCAGAAAGCAGCTTAAACCAGATTGTCGCCGCATCCAGCCCCAACACCCCTCAACCCGTGCCCGAGCAGTCTGCACTATGCCAAGGCCCTTACTTCCACATCAACCAGACCCTGAAGGAGGCCCACTTTCATAGCCTACAGCACCGAGGACGGCCTCCAACATGACACGCTGGCAGCTTCTTGCCTTCTGTGAAGGGACAGCGCTGTGCAGATTTGATACTTCAACTTACAATGTTTTAAAAAATTGCACAAAAAAAATGCCTGTTGGCTTTTCAGTCTATATTTGAAATAACAGGTTAACAGGCAGTTGTTTACTTGTGGTTTTGCTGCACTATTGCAATTTCAAAGGGGCTTTGAAGCAATTTTTTATAGGATTCTTTTAAGGGTGGGTATCAAATCCATGTCAAGGTAATGGTAAGAGGAAATCTCATCTGTGTGTTGAATTCATAGTTTGTCCAATCCAGATTGATTTTCGAATCTGTCAATTAGAAATTCTACTTTATGTAAAAGGGCCTTTTAAAAATGCGGGATCTTCAATTTTTTAAAATTCAATAAACTAGTAAAGAGTATCTAGTTTCCATGAAAAAACATAAGTTTTTTTCCAAAATATAGAAAGCTTGATTCAGTCTTGCACTGAAATTAACTGCCATACTACCTCTTAGTATGTAGACATCTGTTGCAAGTCCTCGCTCTGTGACAGGGAACAGTCAGACCCACGCCGGACTGTGCAAGTGAAGCACCTTCCCTAATAACCGCCTTCGCTCTGTCACGTACGTGTATTTCCAGAGAGAATGTCTTTCAGACTCTTGTGTGCCACGTAACCTGTGCTATGTCGTTCCTCCAGAGCCTACATCTCAGACTCGGGAGACAGTGCTGAGTTACAGAAGTCCAGAATTACCCAGTGACTTTGGTTTTACTCACAAACTTAACGATACCAGCAGCTTCTGTGATCCCCTTGATAACCCCACCGGGGTGTGCTGAGACCCAGGCGTGGATGGATGCCGGCACAGCGCAGGTTTGAATGATGGCTGCGTCTCAAGTATTGTGAAATGACTGGACAAGGATTGACCTGACGTGTAAAGTGACCAGGGGGCTGTGTTCTACCATGGAAACCGAAAAGACTGCTGTGGCTTAGAGACAAATGATTAAAGCCCCTCTGGGAGAAATAACAGAGTTTATTCAGAGAGAGACGGCTATGCGCCCATGTCATTTAGTCATACTAGAGAGCCAACCGAGTTTAAATAATGAAGGTGTAGACGCGTCCTCATCTTCACTGACAAACTGTCTGAACAAGGAGCCAGGATCTGCTCGGGATGGTTCCGGGGGGATGACCTGCCGTTGCATGTAGAGGAAAGTGCCTTAGAGTCGAGCCGAGTGCCCCCGCCGCGCTGCCCGCCCCTCCACGCCACTCGGTCCAGCCAGCACACCAAGCCCGTCTGAGGCAGCACAGAGCGCTAGTGAGGAAACTGCTCTTTGCCAAGGCTTGAAAAGGACATGGGACAGAACTGAACTTGGAAGGTGAGGACTGTCAGAGGAAAGAGGTAGACATCCTGCTGCCTCCTTTTCCATGGTTGCTTCCTCTACTGTGAATGAAAAAGGCAGTTACTCCACGTAGCGATGGAGACTCGCGAGGGCAAGCTGCAGCACAGGCCCATGCTTGCGGAGTGGGGGGTTCGTGCAAGAACTTGTCAGTACCATCTCCCAAGCTTAAAACCAGATGTTTGACAAGGATTTTGGATCTTAATGGGTGTGATGGCAGGAGGTGGGAAGGACACACTGCTAATGCTTGGTCTACCCGTAAAGCAAACCACAACTAAATGCTGTAAGAAGACGGGCCGTTGGAACTCTCAAATGACACACACACACACAACACGACTCAGAAATACCCAGGACTCCTGCAGGCTACTGGATGGCAGCCGACTGAAACAAAATGTGCATTGACAAGAAAATGTAAAACTTGAGACAGCAAATTTCCTTTTCCCCCCACCCAAGAAGAAGAAGAAACCAGCACCGAAACAGACTCTTTTTCCAAATAAGTACAACCACAGTGCTGGGGTTAGCGGTTCACCCTTTTCCCCTACTAAGAACAAGAGATCATCTCCATCCTGTCCTGCTCATTTTCTACAGCTTGGCAGCCCGAGATGCGTTTCTGTTGGGAGGCTACCTGATAGTGTAAATGGGCATCTCGATCTAGGACTTCTATTAGCTCAAGCTAGTAAAACCTTGTACTTCTGTATTGCGCCGCCATTAAAAGCAGCATTAGTGCATTGTCATTCGATGCTTATCAGTTATTTAGAGGGTGCGGACGGGTGCTTTGGGGAGTAGGGAACAGGACCCACAGGGATGAATCTCGCAGTCTCACTAACCTGGGCTTTCGTTTCGATGCTTCTGGTTAACTTAGCCTTCCGGGAGCTGGTCATGCTCAGTGGAAGAAGTCCAAACCTCCAAGACAAAGACGAAGGAGTTTCAGTAGCACGAACAGGAACCTTCAGGGCCTACCGAAAAGCCCTTAGCCTCATTACCTGATCTGACTCGATGCCAGCGGCAGGATGTTATGGGGTTCCTGGGAGTTGAACACACTGCTCCTGGGGGTGAACTGGTTCTCCGTACCGCTGACCAGGCCCAACAGAACCTGACAGATCAGAAAATCATTTCGGTTAGTCACTGCTTTGCGTCTAACCTTCCCTTTGGGGAGTGTTTACTTGAGGAAGTCAGTACTTCAAAATTACTTTTCTCTCTACCCAAGTCAGAATCTCAGTCATAGCTTTTCTTATCCTTCTTTCTGTGGCCTTGATCCTCTCCATCACCCGAGGAGTCAGATCCTGGCTGTCTGAGCACATGAGATTTTATCTGATCCCCTTTTAGCCCTTAGAACTAAACCGGGCCGCTGGTGTCTCCGCCCCTCCTGGCACTGCCTCCTGCAGCCTGCAGTGCTGGGCAGGTTGACTGTACCTTGAGCCCTTCACTGACACCGTGCGCGCCCCCATTTACCGAAGTTCGCTGCACCAGGCGGTTAAGGTTGCTGTTGAGGTGGGGTGTGAAGACATCCAGGTCAAAGGGATCAATGAGTGCTTCTAAGTAGTCAGCCACTTTCTCAATTCTGGAAAAGGGTCAGGGCGAGTCACATTTTTTAGGACAAAGCTCAACCTTAGGGAATTTTAACGCTTTAGAAATCCTGGAGTTGGGTTTATTCTCCTAAACTGTTTGCTGACTGAGCATATCCTGTCACTGATCACGGTGCATAGTTGTCCTCAAGCACTCCGACCTGAAGGGGTAGCTTAGTTAAGTCCATTCCTCCCCACACATTGTTTCCAGAAGTAGCTCAAATGACACCCAGTAGCTGCGGGGCTGACTGAGAAGAGAGGACGGAGTCACCCGCTGTGCTCGATCACGGTATGTGTCCGGCAGGCGGCCACTGCTGGTGTGGTCATCTAGCAGAACGTTTAAAACAAACCACTAACGGGAGGTCAGAGGCTGGCTCTGCAGCGCCCAGAAAAGGGGCTCCTTGCATTTAGAAGAGTCTGCACTGGGGGAGCCCGGAGAGTGATGGTACCTGGAGTCCTGTTTGCTTCGGCCGCTTTTCACCTCCTCAGCCTTGGCTGTCAGGACAATGTTGAGGTAACGCAGATCATAAAGCAGCTGCAGGGCGCGGTTCTGGGTAATTGGAAATGCACCTTCTCTCTGCAAATGAATTCCCAGTCCCGCCCATTGTTATACAGGAGATAACTTGTTATATGAGCCTAACAGCTCAGGTTTGGGTTGCATTACAGCTTGTTATTTCAGAGGGAGGTAGAAGCTTTCATATTCCTAAGGCCAGTTAGATCTCACAACAAGAAACAGGTTATATTAGAAACTGGGTGTTAAACGAGACTGATAGCCTAACAGGAAAGAGACCTGGCCCTTTGAAGCAGCTCGGGATGCTGTAAGTGGTCATTTTAAAGGAAAAAAAGTGTGAGGGAGAGATTTTTGAGGATTCTCGGGAGAGATTTACCTGAATTGTTTCTAACTACAGGAGTTGGTCCTGTCTTAAAAACATTACTAAAGAGCTGGGAAGGTAAACAGGGCAGAGTGCTTCACAAAACTACACACAGAAGGAGAAGGGAGGTGTGGGGGCAGAGGTGAGCAATCCCTTAAAGGAGTATCTGGGCAGGGCGCCGTGCTTTGCATCATCTGAACCTCCTCATGCCCCCTGAGCGGTGCCCACATGGTCACATCTGATGCCAAGGAAACAGGTGAATGATTTGCCCAAACCACGCAGTAAGCGCGGCCCGTGTGGGTGCTGCAGCCAGAAGCCAGGCCTCTGACTGCAGCTTCCACCCTCAGCACTTAGAGCTGCCTGTGTAGGAAAGACCTGCTCGACCCTGGAGAAAGGGTGTGATTAAACTCAGGGCCGAAGTTACTCCCGACCAGAGAGCCTGACTGAGTGATCTACGCGTGTAATCCTTGATGCTAACTACTCAGATCCAAGGAAACCTAAGATTTTTATTTCTGTTTTTAATGGAAGAAAAATGTCAGACACCTACCTTAATCTGTTTTTCTTCTGAAAATTTCTCATAGGCAGCTACTACTTGAGTCATGCAGCTCTTCAGCATCTCCTGCAGTGTCACCTTTGGTAAGGCATGGCCTCCAACCCGATTAATTTCCTGGCACAAACTAAACAGGAAGGACTGTACATACCAGGATGGCTATAAATAAAAAAAAAGGAATGCCGAGTGTCGCCTCGCCTGCGCTACATGAGTAGCGGTGAGGGCAGACCCATTTATTCCACTGGGCGACGTGCCCAGCCCGGCCACCAGCCCCTTCCAGGGCCCGGAGAACAGATGCATGCGGCGCCCCACCGCACAAGCTTAGAAACAAACACTGTCCAGCTCTTGCCCAAAGTCGGCCAGGAGGCGACCTTCCAGCCTTCCCTTCCAAAGAGCCCGTTCCCTCGTCCAGCCCAGGGCCTCCCTCAGTGGCGGGTGGCACCAGCTCACCTGTGCTGGGAGTCGGATCTTGGAGGTGACACTGCTGCCAGACTCTGCTTCCTCCTGAATTTCTAGTTCATCCCAGCTGGTAGCCGTGGCCAGGACTGAACCTGCGTCATCTGAAAGTAACGACTGGGTGAATCCATGAGCCAGAACCTGGTAATGAAAGACAAGGGTCCACACAGGCCGCTCAGATCCTTTGCAGTGTTTGCTTCAAACCCCAGGAGAGCCCTGAGGTCAGCTTCAGAGGCTTAGATCTCGCGTGGGATGGTGAATGCAAACGCCGCTCTTCTGGCTGATGACCGGGGTCTTGTTGCTGACCACCCCACAGATGTCAAGGGCCTCCTCTTATATACCAGTGGAGACTATAAGGGGAACATGATGTTAAAGTTTAAGAGCAGGAATTACCATCCAAGAAGAAAATCTTTCATTCTTATTAGATGGAAGGGAAAAAAATCCAGGTTTTGTCTATAAAATCGAGGCTAAAATGAATGGAGAGGTTTTTCATCTTTGTGTGATCTGAGAGAGATAAGGCAAAGTAACTGTATAAGGCAGGGATTGGTATGTCCCGACTACTCAGAGGCCCTATGATGGCTGGCAAGACTGGACTATGGGAAAAGTGAGACGCAACGGGGATCTCAGCAAGGATCGCGTGTCACTCACTTTCACCACTGCGGAGCTCCACACCCGGTAGCCCATCACGCTCTGCTGGAGGAGCAGCTCCTTGACTTCCTGCCACTTGGCCTGCATGGGAACCATTTCCTGAGCTTTCCCCTTCCCTTGTTTTTTCAGAGCCCAGGAATCCCTTGCTGGTTTCTCGGCACTCCCTGATTTTCCCAAGATGCATTGCTTCAGGTGGGGACACAGTTCTCCCAGTGACTGGCAGAGTCTGGCCATGAAAAGGACGGCGTGCAGCTTGACGCCACGGAGGACGTCCTGCTGCCCTTGCACCACCTCCTCGATGCGCTGCAGCTCTGCCTGGATGCAGTTTGTGATGTGCAGGATGCAGGCCGCCGAGTGGGCCCGCAGCATCTCCTGCACAGTCCCGGCATCGGAGTATCTGTCGAAGGCACAGTTCTTGGCTTGCACGGGGGAGGTGTCCTTGGGCAGCAACGGGTCACCAGAGGGGAGGTAAGCCAGGAGGTCATCCAGCATAACCTTCAGCTTGGAATCTAGGGCAACACAGAAGCTCTGGACGGACGGACTGATGGCTTGAGCTTTCATGGAGAGCCCACTTCCAGCAAGCTGACCCCGGTTGGCTACGCTGACCCAGGCAGCATCGGAAGGCAGGTCGTTAGGACTCTCAGTCCAGAGGAAGAGAGACATGTTGTGCTCAAAGTGGAGGTGCTTATTTGGAGTGGAGCTGCTGGTGCTGCTTTCAAGTTCCTGCAGAGCGGCCATCAGGAGCTCTTTGGAACTACTGGAGATGGAGGCAAAACCTTCTTCTGTCAGAGTCTACAAGAGAAGGAGAGAGGACTTCTAATCCAGTTTCTTTCAAAAAAGCTCCCAATGTGCACTAAGTGGCTCTCTACCCCAGCAGCCAGATGCTCTCCATCACGCCTGGAGGGCTGGCAGTGGCGGGCAGGAACGAGTAAGCACTGACGGACAGGACTGAGCCCAACCACCTGAAGGCCTCGACTCTCCCAGCATTGGAGTCCGGATCTCGGCTCCTCTGTGGTTCCTGACCCAGAAGTGCTGCCCCTGGAGTACGTCAGCAGGGCAGACAGACCGGACAGTCAGGAGCTCACATAGGGACTGTCAGGAGCTCACATAGGGACTGGCCAAGACACAACAGGGTCGTGTGACGTCTCCCTCACCTGTAGTCGGTCAAGGAAGAGTTGCTGCATCAAGTCCTCCCAGAACAGGAGTGGCTTGTCCAGCAGCCGCCGGCATATCACGTCCCAGCTGTGGTTGGTGGCCTCGTTAGTGAGTAATTCCCACATGGCATCCCGGATCCCTGCCAGACCCTTCATGCTTTTCACGTACATAAGCAGGTTGGTGATCCCATTTTTTATGTCTTCATTACACCTGCAACCAAATTATTTTCCTTGAGCCCCATCAGACTCATGGGGCCTTACAACTATATTAAGAAAAGCAGCAGGACTCCACTTGCCAACTCTTTCTGAGCCCCAATATATATAAACGTATAACCCAGCAGTTCTAGCTGGACTGGGGAGAGGGTTGGCTTCACCAGGCCTGCCCTTGCTTCCCTGAGGAATCTAGAAGGAAGTCTAGAGCCCCACAGAAAGGCTTCAGATACCACTAAATAAAAGTTTATGAGTGGCATAACTTTGACATAAAGAGAATTTGAAATGCTCTACATAATACTCTGGAAGAAAAGCTCCTCCCACCGTGGGGCTAACTTGCCATGGACATGGTCATGGTCATGGCACCGAGCAAGTGGCCATGCAGAGGGCGGTGTCAGAGAGTCATCCAGAAGACTGGCCTGTTCCTCTTGGGCTGCTGCCAGCCTCAGGAAAGCTCTGGCTACTTACATGTGGATCCATTTCTGCAGCGTGTCTTTCAGGTACTCCTGGCTGATGGGATGCGCCAGCGTGCGGAGGGCTGGCTGGAACTCCACGACCGATGCCGGCAGGTGTCTGAACCAGCGGCAGAGCTTCATCTCCTCCTGCAGAACCCCGGCGCCCCTCCCTAAGAGAAGGCCAAGTGAGAGTCATCAGGGCCATTCTCTGAATGGCTTATTGAAAAATAGACCTTAGGAAAGTTTCCAGAATTGACGTGAATCTTCCTCTGGGCAGGTCAGAGTGGGCCTCTGAAAAAGGAGGAAAAAGGACAGTACAGACTAAGTGCAGGGCCCCTCCTCGGAGAGTGACAGCTTCCCTCCACCTCCGGCCATCCTGCTGGCAAAGGGCAGGGTGGAAAGGGATGGAGGGAATAGGCGAGGGGAAGGAGAAACAAGTGGCGGAAGGGAGAGAAGTCTGAATTGTAAGCACAAGAAGGAAACCAAAGCTAAGGAGGTGGGACTCTAGCTGGAAGACAGAGTAAGCCAAACACGGTCCTCTACAGCACATGTCTCTGAAATGGCTTTGTGTGTCACCCCGTGTGCTGTTTCCTTCCACCTCTGGCTGTGTCTCCTCTGTCTGACCTTTGAGTCCTGTCATCCATCCCAAGGCTTCCAACAGTAGCTGCATGTGGACACCCCAGGTGTGACTGGCCAGACCTCTCGTGCTCTTTCTGGCCCTCAGTTGCCGCCACTCTGCCACATTCCCACTCCAGTCAGCCGTCATCATACAGCATGTGAACTGCCCTTCCAAACCAGCGATGTTTCTAGCAAACTTGGACACCTGTTCTACTCCCTCAAGAGCCAATCCACAGCCATCTCCTAAACAGACATCTGAGTTGTCCTATTAGCTCCATCTCTGCTGCCCCCGTTTGTCACCTAGGTCATGGGGACGGACTCCTAAGTGAGCTTGCAGCATGCACTCTTGCCCCATGGGGCCATATAAAAGTCGACTGCATTTCATTTCAATTGGGATAAACACTACCAAAAAAAAGTATAGGATGCTTGGGAACTTAGCACATTCAACATACATGAAGGACCATCAACTCTGGATAAAGTCCTAACTCCCTAGCCTAGCCCATAGGGCTCTGCATTATCTGGTCACATCTGCCTGACTGGACATGTCTCTCGTGCTACTCTTCTCCTCACCCAATACCTCTTAGCTCACCAGCTTTCTCCCTGTTCCCCAAATGTATCAACGCCCTCCTTGCCTCAGGACCTTTGCATATTCTCTCCCCTGTGCCTGGAAATCTTCTGGCCTTCGTCCCCCATAACTCATCCTTCAGGTCTCCATTTAAATAACATTTCCTCAGGGAAGTCTCTGACCTTGATGTTTCAATACTTCTAAGTTAATCTGTACTCTGCCTTGATAGCAATGACCGATATTGATATTAAACAGATATCTGAGTATTTATGAGTTCAGTATCTACCTCTACCATTAGCCTGTGACCTCCAAGA